TTGTCTTCGCGCTCGCAAAACTCTTTTCTGTCTTTTAGGGCACAAATTGCTCTTCCCTAATTCACTCTGAATATAATTTGGCATGTTGGAAAAATCTAGAAGTAAGCAAAAATGTGCTGATGATTCAAAAACTACTTGGGTCAGGCGATTCTGTTAACGCAATTTAATATTTTTATTAGCGAAAATAAATTGCTATAACTCGTTTCCAGTGATACTTGGCACTTTCGATTTCGATCGAAGCCTTCAATTTCTTTCGAAAAAAAAACAAACAAAACCTTTAAAACTACATTTGTTATACAAATGTAGTTTTAAAGGTTCCTTAGCTTTTTGCAATAATGACAATTCAAAATAATGAAACCCACATGCAGGGTGATTTTCAACACACAGTGAAATCTCAATAAGTCAAACCTCAAGGGAACAGGTTCAAAATTTGACCTAAGCCGAGTTCTGAGATAAGCAGGGTTGTATATCATTGTTTTACTACTAAAAGAGAATGGATTCTTTGTTTGACTTAACAGCTGTTTTGAGTTATCAGAGGTTGACTTACGAGATTTCATTGTAAATACTCTCTAAATTCCAAAGAGTGAAATTAGGGACTAGACGTTTTAGAGTGAAAATCACTCTCATTTTCGATTGAAATAGTCTGAAAAAAGAACCACTTCAGTCGAAGCTCGAGTGAAAACTAGATCTTTACGATTGAAGAAATTTCACTCTAAAACGTCTAGTCCCTAGTTTCCGACTGTGGGAGTGAATCTTCACTTGAATGGAGTGAATTTTCACTCTTTGGAATTTAGAGAGTACAAATCGTCATTATTTTTTTTATCAAAATATCAATGTTTGCGTATTTCTTTGTATTTCACATTTAACGTTTTGTCAAAGTAAGCATTGCTTGTTTCTTCAATTGCCTTGACCAAAGAAAACAACTTGGAGCAGAACAAAATTTGCTATGTTGCTCACTGTACCGCGATGAAATGGGTTGGTTGCTACAGTTCTTAGATATCCGACATTTGCGTAGTCAAAACACAGTTGGGTTTTGTTCCAATCCGGTTTTTAACCCGAGAAAGGTTTTACTTAATCATTTTAGTAAGTGAATTTCCGTGCATAAATACAATGAGCTGAAGCGGTTTAAATTAGGTGAGTACATCTCTGACAGAACCACAAACAAAAAGATTTTATAATCCGTCTCGAAGAATTAGCCCAGATACTTTGAAACTGTTTTATAATACTTTTCGCCTTACAGATACTTTGAGAAATCCAATTCACTGCATCGTGTTTTTTTTTTTATTCTTTTCAGAATTATTCTTCTGGTCGATTGCCTCCACGACAGAACTGTATTGGAAACTGAATTCGTTGCCATAGAAACGGATCACAATTAAAGACGAGTCCTTGTGGTGGACTTAATTGCACTCGCAGCGTCCTTAAGCATGAGCGAGTAACGACGCATGCGCGTCATGACTCGCTCTTCAGCAACAAAGTAACTCTAGCTCTGTGGGGGAAAAAGTTGGCCAAGACACCATAATTGTTAGCCTAGGAATGTTGCCAATTACGGCCATGGTCTAGTATCCAATCCAACGTGTGTCATAATGTGCTATTCAAACAGGGGTACCAGGGGAAAAAGTGGATACACAGAGGGCGCCCCAAGTGAAGAAACAAGACACTATTAAAAATCACCAGTAATAAAATGGATGCCTACGTTTTTGTTATAGTTACCAACAGCTGAAATGCTAATTTGATTTGGTTGTTGTCTTCAAGTTATTTGTTTTCAGCCAAACGCATACTGCTTGACAAATTGCTGTGAAAGGTTTCAACATTGTGGCAATGGCCAAAGGTGGTGCCAGAATGTTAAACATCAAATTTTAACGGATCATAAAAGGACAAGTGAAAAGGGATTTTAATGGCATCGTTTGCTTTTCATGCATTTTGTTCGTTTCCAATGATTACACAACCCAAACAAAAATGTTCAAAACCTATAAGCTGTTGAAGTTTCAGCTCAATGAATATTATTATTTTTCGAGAAAACGAAAAACACAAAACATGCACAACCTTTTGATAACGAAACAAGATCGTTGGATATCACCTATAGGCCCTATTTCTTGATTCCTTCTATTGAAGAGGTTGTGGAATGCTCGAAGACATTTCCGTCATTTTTCGGGTATATGTATCCTAAGGTGTGATGAAATAGAAACGACTATTGTGTCTGTCACGAAATGAGTACAAAAGGTACTTTTTGAGAGCTGTTTTTCAGGTCCTGTTTCGACCCGCACGTGCAATTTGTGTAAAAATCGTCGTTGGGGGCAGCAAACAAAACATAGTAAATCGTGACGTAATAAACAGGACTCCCGATGCAGCGTAGTATAAACTTGTTTATACAACGCTGCATCGGGAGTCCTGTTTATCAGCTCTCAAAAGTACCTTTTGTACTCATTTCATGACAGACACAAAAGTCGTTTTTATTTCATCACACCTTAGGCTACATATACCCCAAAAATGACGGAAATGCCTTCGAGCATTCCACAACCTCTTTAATGACAGCAAGTCAGACTGAATAATTTCACGGGGTGTTTAGTACCAGTAAGAAAATTAGTCCAAGTAAGCTTTTTTGGATAATAAATCGGTGGGTTAATGTTGGGATAAATGCAAATGATCCCATGTGCCTGTTAACAATAAATGTCACGTTCAATATTTATGGAAGTTTCAGGTCCCAATTAGTGAATGTCTTTCTTTGCTCAATCTAACATTGAATCAATATGACTAAAGAAAACTTACATTGGAGAGTAATATATGCCGAACTACTGTGTGTCCCCAAAAAGTGTTCGTCTGACTATTTTTGATATAACTACAAAACCATGAAGTCCATTTTTTTTTCTTATTTTGCAGACACCCCTTATCCTTGGCCTTAACCCCGCCCCTATGAGTTTCATTTAATTTCAGTCACGCATCACTGCACAATTGTCCTTTGAACACGACAACATTTTTGGACCCTGCGACCAAGTTCCTTCCCTTAAAGGGAAGATACAACATTTGCAAACATCAAAAAACGAAATGATAGAATTATCACGAAACACCTTACTGGATTGTTAGGGAATGACAGTCTAAAGCATCCTGTAAAATCGTCTCTCCTGGTGTGCTGACATTTTTAAGAAAAATTGTATTTTTCCAACGCTGGTCGGCCGACGAGTGTTGGAGAAAACTGGCTTTTATCAAAAACCGCTCCGAAGTTTTCATAAAAGTTGTTCCGCATTCTCTTTGCAATTGATTTTCACACCTGTGAAAGGGTACAAGCCTGCCAGACTGATTCTCTGACCTTTAAAACAATTCCCAAAAGTCTATACATTTCTCTGTTTCATCATAAGTGGGGTCAGGGAACCAGTCTACAAAACCATGATTGGTTTTCTTGGTTTTTGCAGCATCTTCAAGCCCAAAACGTGAAACAAATCAGTTTAACAATATTTGCTATAACATACTATTCCTCCAAATCCATTTATTTCTGAAAATTGCATCAAAAGCAAATGTTGTACATTCCTTTTATTCAAGTTTAGTGCTGTGTGTGTGAAATCCTTCAGGTTGTGAAAAGGGCCCGGTTGGGATTGAAGTAATATGCCTGGCTATCAGTCATCATGGTAAGACCTCAGTTTAATGCTCAAAGGCAAAACTATTCCAGTCCTTAACCACTTCGGCCTTTTTTTTTCAACCTGATATTCGTCAATGCAGTGTGTTTTAATAAGGGAATAATTGTGTGTTCGGGAGGTATTAATCACTCTGTTTCAGACCGCTTGGAGTCTGGGTGTTGATAAGTACCCGAGCCATGTCTTCATCATCCGTTTAAGATCGGCCACGTGACGGGCTCTCGACCAATAGGAATGGGTAAACTGTCTTAGGTATTTATGAATTATAGTTTGGAGGTCGTACGCGCTGGGGGCTTTTTAGCTCTTCAGATGAAACGATCGATTGAGGTGTGTGGTATCACGCGTAATCAAGAGGGCGCCGTTGCGTTCAATAGCACGAATTGTCTTCAGGGAGATGACAGATAATGCTGATGTGTATACGGGCGAAAACATCGCCAAGGTCCAAGGAAGGAAGGAAGTCAGCACGTGACGATCGCAAAATATCGATCGGCTCTCCCTGTTGCCGTCAAGAGAGGGCGTCAGGACAGCATTATGGTTGGAGCGAGCGGAAGACTTGCCACTAGTCTTCGAACACTTGGTATGTAAATCACCGCAAAAAAACCCCCCAAAATCCCGTTCTCGTGCAAACATGATTACTGTTTAGTTGGTAGTAAATGCTCCCAAATGAAAGAGTATCATAATATTTTATTAATTTCAAATGATCTTGAGGGGAAAAAAATGTACAAACGTTCAGCCAGTAGGTCAAGAAAAGCGAGGCAAGCGATACATATGATAAACTACCAAACACCAGTACGGTACGTTGCGAAGACACCAACGTTCCGCATGAGTGGACTAAAAGAGAGTTTGCACTGAAACACCTTGAGAAAACAGGAAACCCAAATTGCAGGACCATTTTTGTAATGAAGTTCTGGATGTAGCACTTCCAAAATCTAGGATATGAAAGCCCAATTAATAAGCCTTATTTAATAACAAAAATCATTCAAAACACTTATCTACTTTTTAAGCTACTGTATTTTAAACACCGTTTTAAAGTTCTTTCCACGGATCACAAAAAGTTCAGTGTTCTTTTAGCAAGACGAAAACAATTCACGTACATGCCTATGTGAATTGTTTTTGTTTTCGTTGCTGAAAGAATACTTCCCTTTTTTGTGATACGTGGACAAAACTTTAAAACGGTGTTTGTGTTTAAAATACCGTAACTTGAAAAGTACATGGGCGATTTGAATGATTCTTGTGCTAAAAGAAAGATTATTAAATCGGCTTTCATATCCTAGATCATGAAAGTGCTAAATGTAGAACTCAATACAAAATTGGTCCTGCCATTTTGGCTTCCTGATTTTGTCTACGTACCCTGTATAACAAATTCTCACTCACCTTGTCTTCGCATCCGAGCTATCCAGTCCCGGTATCGTCCCTCGATGCTCTCGGAAACATCCTGCAGCTCGAGCCTCAGGAGCGAGAACGGCTCCATCAGCTTCGAGGAGAGCGAGTCGATGACTCGGTCAGCGTCGGCCGATGTCTCCGATGGCGGGCACACTCGGCAGGCCACGGACGAGGACCGGTCTTCTCCGACCATCGAACAGTTGACTTGGTACAAGGCGGGTCGGTCCGGGCTGTCTTCTTCGATCCATCTCTGGACTTGGCCCTGGAGGGTCCGCAGCAGGCTGACGAACTGCAGTCCGCCGGTAGGGTCGAAGTCGATCGGGTTGTTGTCCCCGGAGTCTGTTGTTGTTTCGTGGGTCGTGAGATCATCTCTACTAAAGCTCCCGAAAATACCCGTCCAGCCGTCCAAGAGTCCCCCGGTAACACCATCGTTCCCAAACATTCCTGGACCAGCTTGAAAACAAATATAGGAAATGTAAAAAAGTGTTAGAAAATGTAGCAGCCACAAATATGTCTTGCAAACCCTAACCCCCACGGGGTATTCTCTCGGCACCCTGCCAAATGCAACAGAATGCAGTGCCAGCCTTGGTACCAAGTACCTACCCTGCCAAATGCAATGGAATGCAGGGGTGCAATGCATCAGATCAGAACGCTGCTAAATACAACAACTTGCAACAACTTTTTACCACTGAAGCATTCTGTTGCATTTAGCAGGGTTAGGTAAGGATTATACTGGATATTAAAACGTGAAAGAAGGTTGCATGCGGAGACAACATGTTATGTGACTGGAGGACTTTGTTTTTGAAAAGAACCAGAGGTTTCTGTCATCAGCATGTTCTGACCGTCAGATTAAGGCCTTATTCTGACGACCGTCAGAGTACACTAGCCCGGACTTTTAAATATGGGAGTCAGGTTGGCTTAGCGGTACTTTCCAGGTTGGCATAGTGGTACTTTCCTCGCCTTCGATCGTTGTGACCCGGGTTCGAATCCCACCTGGGCCAATATGTGGATTGGGTTTTCAGTCCCTTCCTGATTCCGTGGGTTTTCCTCAGAATATTCCTCTAGGCTTTTCCTCCCACCTCTAAAACTGTCATTTCTTTTCATTGTCTTCTCTCTGCAGGTTTCTTCAGGCTTTCGAGATACAGTGCTTAGGGTACTTTTGAGGAATCTTGGTTTTATTACCAGAAATAAAATATCCCGGATCATACTTAAGCATTATACTTTTCAGGGTCAAGATGAAACCTTGGGTCACAAAAACCACACTTCTCTGAATCAATTACCAGGCCATTTCGACCCGGAAACCTTTAATAGCAAAAGGGTCATGTTTTTGTCACCCTGAAAAATATCGGGTTAAATATGATCAGGAATCCTGGTCAAATTTAAGTATAGTTGGGACTGTCCAAACGATGACTAGGGCCATTGCTATAGTTAGGGCGTAACAAGGCCATTTTCATGGACTTGAGTTGCTAACCACAGAAGTCAAACATGCAGGGCGCAGAAATTATATAACAAAGATGGGTTATTAGCCAAAATATCATTCCATGTTTGTTGCTTGTGATTGGTTTTCGGCTAACACCAGCTTGGAGCATGAATTTTCTCAGCAATGGTTCAGCCTGGTCGGATCAGACTCCTGGTCAGACTTACCGACAACAGGCTTCATCACGCCCGAGATGTGGGCTGCCAGCAAGCTATCGAGAAAGGACTCGAAGGGAGCCGCGTGGGGCACGCTGCTGCTCTCGGTAGTAGGTGCTCCCTCTCCAACCCGGGTCGTCTCCTCCTTGAAAAACAGCACGCCGTAGTAGGCCAGCTTTCTCAGGAGGTCCGCTCGCTCGGAGATGTCGAAATCCATCAGCGGGGGGACGCTAAAGCTGGGGTAACCATAGGTGACTTCCTCTGAAGCCGGAGGCGGGGTGATCGATGATCGCTTCTGTCTCCCTCCGGGACCAGGCAGTACGGGCATCACGGTGGTCTGTTGATCAGAGTTACGCAAGGCGTCCTGCATCAGGCCGCGGCTGTATTCCAGGGTCACGTTGCGGACGATGCCGCCCCAGGTCTTGGAGGCCGACGCTGCCTGGTGGGCCAGCTCCCCGTAGGCGTCGATCAAGGCCAGCTTCGGCAGGGACTCTTCGATGAGGGTCTGAACGTCGGAGGCCTGCAGCATCCTCTCCTTCTGGCTTTCTCTACCGAGTAACCACGACTCGGAGAACCGGTCGAAGGTGGTCTGGATCGCTGAGGGGAGGTCCGGAAGGTCCAGCTGCGGGTCACCGTCTTGTGCGAGACGCATCTGGATGCAACCCCTGCGTAACACTTGAGGGCGTTGCGGTGATGGCTTCCCATCTAGCGCTGGGAACAGGCACACGCAGGTGGCGACTGCCAGTGTCCCGATCAGGAATATCTGGCGGCCCATGTTGGAAGGCAAACACTGTGAAAGAAATGAGAAGAATAGCGCTGGCATTAGCCGGTTCCCCGTCTCTCCATTGTACTTAGAACAGTGAATCATCCCAATTATATATGCCAATTATATGCAGGACTTGCATAGGTCTGATTCCCGCCCCTGAATTCAAAGCGATACTGTATGCGAAGAACCAGCCTATTGCCAAATGGCAACAGGCTATACTTATGTGCATTTCTGTGGTGATGAACTTCGATTTTCGCTGAGCTTCGATTTTCCCTGGTAACTATCAATAATAAGAGGGGCAATACTTTTCAGTTTTTTAATCCTATGCAGATGAAATGCTTGAAAGTTGTTTTTGAGAGACACTAGCGATTATGCCTGCTGTTTGTGGTAAGACTAAGAGTAAGTTTTTTTGATAACTACATGTATATTTGTTTGTATGTGTTCAAAATTCATCCATGCAAAATACTGTAAATATCGTTTCAAAAGTAAACAATTATGCTGCGCACGCGCAGAGGTGATCCAATCAATGGCTTATGATTGGAGCTGGCTACCGATCCCATATTTTTAAGAAGTGGGGACGGGAACCAGTCTAGCATTATATAAGGGCAGGTATAAGCTGACAGGGTCCCAATCAGGAATTTCCGGCGGCCCATGTTGGAATACAATCACTTCGAAAGGTATGACAACCGTATACAAAAATACATATCCCGTGGTATTCGATATAAGGACAGATAGCTTATCATGCATGATACAGGGCGGGTCAAGAAAAAGTGGAACCCCAAAACCAAAGAAATATATTTCATATATATAAAAAAAAAATATGTGGCACCAAAATAAATTATTACTTGAAATCCTATCTACTAAATTACATTTAAATGAGAAAATTATTTCAATTGCTTTACACGCTAAAACTGTATCACTATAAAAATTAGAAACCCTAAAATCAGTTTCGTCCAAAAAAGCAGTGTGTTTTCTGACTGTTTGGAACAACAAAGAAAATGACACAGAGTACTTGTTTAGTACACAATATCTTATAACAACCCAGCTTTGGCTAGCAATATAATTTATAAATCCCCCTTTTTTTTTTTAAAGACGGGCCTTCGAAAGGACTTTGTTGAATAGTTTTAAGTTTAAAACTGAGGTTTTATCGCTGGTGATGTTTGAAGGGAATTGTAACGACAATTCTTGAAATCGCATTTTTAGACGAAACATATTTTAGTGTCATTTCATTCAAATGGTGATATAATATTTCATTTAAATTGTGATATAATTTGAACGGAGCAATTGAAGTAGTTTTTTTATGTAAAAGTAGTTTATTAAATAGGCTCACCAGTTATACTTATTTTTGGTGCTACATATTTTTTTAAGTATAAAATATATTTGTTGTTTTGGGTTCCGCTTTTTTTTCTTACTCACGCTGTATCAATTGCACTTGCTTATTTGTCATTGTGAGTCGAGTCCGACCGAGTCCGAGTCATGGAAAATGGACTCGAGTCCGACTCGAGTCCGAGTCACGTGTCACGAGTCATACAAGTCTGCCAATAATATTTATGCTTTAGTACTTTTGCGGCATTACACCGAATTGAAGTTAGATTCACGTACAGCCAAAAAAATACACAATATCATCCATGATTAAAAACGTATAGAACGCGCTTCAACACATTGCCCTTAACAATAGTAATATCAATAACAATAAAACAAATATGCAAAAATCACAAAAGAAAACTAGTTGAATTTAAACCAATTTAAACCAATTGAGCAATTAATGCGGTTTTTTTTACAGCAAGGCAAATCGTTCATTAGGCCTACACACTGTTATTTCGGTTGTGTACTATATGAACCTAGCAACCAGTTGTGTAAAAAAAATTGAACAAGTTGTGTAAAATTTTACACAAGTTGTGTAATATTTTACACAAGTTGCGTAAACAACAGTTTACACAACAGGTTGCAAGGTTCGTATAGTACACAACCGTTTGATTTTTACACAACCGAAATAACAGTGTAGGTTAAAAAAAATTACAATACGTAAAAACAAATACGGAGCATTTCGCGGCAAATTCTATACAGGCTATAGAAAAGATGGTAAATTAAATTCATAATCCTACCTCCAATTATATTCCTGCAACTCCAATGTTGAAATTGTTTTCAGTCCAAACAGGTCAGGTAGATGCAGACGCGAGCAACAGTCACCCCAAAATGAGCTATGCCAACAAAAACTGCCTTTGAATTATGCAGTGTTGTACCCGCCGGAGGTATGACACACACTAAAGTGCTGTACGACAAAAGGCAAGTGCAGGGTGCGGTCCACGTTCCTTTGTGCAGAATTATGGTTTCAAATTCATTATTGATAAATGCATCATGAGGCTGATGCATCGAGGTAGCCGCACTCACTTAATTACTGAGACGGTGTGTCCTCCACCTGCTTTACGTTGCTAGGCGACGGAGGCAAAATGGCCGTCGGCCGCGAACAATAGTACGAGGCAGTGCGCGATGAAGGCGAACGTACACGAGTGTGTTGCGCCGGTGAAGCGCGGCGATGGCGGTGGCGAAGCAAGCAAGCCATTATCGTCAATGTTGCAGTGACATCCAGTGCAGCAATAATCCAGTCTCGCAGTAATAGCCCTTAAGTTATTAAAAATGTATTGGTCTAGGACATCAAATAATTATTTGCTTTTAGTATAGACACGGAAATCGCTAGACCATTTTGAATGGTGGGGGTGCCATCATGAAATTTGCCGACTGACCGTCAAGCAATGTGGGCGTAATTAATAATTTTCCGCCCAAAATCATCCCTTTAACTCCATTTCTTTCTAATTTCCTCCAAAAAAAATTTGAAGTAAAAGATTTAGCGAATTTTTAATTCAACGAATGATAAGTCTCCTTGCCGAAACATGGCCATCAACATAGTCGCGGCATCATCGATGGAAACAATTTAATAAATATTTAATAAACTTATTTGAAAATAACAAAACCCAAAAGCGCCCCATGGTAAAAAGCCACATTGCTAGCCCAAATTCCGTAAACTAAAATGAAAAGCTGAAAATTGCAGTAGTCTCAAAACGTGTGAAAAAATGCAAACAATTTTATCAGGCAGAATTGAGGCTATTTTTGGCTGGACATGTTGTGTTCATATGAAAATAAACTCGAGAATACAGTAAAAGTGAATATTACTTCGATCGAAATGCAATTATTCTCATAGCGTTGTCAAAGTTCGGCGCCGTGTAGGCCAGCCTTTGTTCTAAAAGGGTATGAAACATTAATGTAACGTCTCTTGTAAAAGCCAAGTGCCGAACGGAATGCTTCGTTCTTATTGACCGAAATGGTGTAAATATCTTTAGTTAATGACTCGGCACATCATGAGCCTTTCAAGTTTAACCTTGCTTCTGAAGAGGCGAGCAATGTAATTAGCTAACAAATGACGCTGCGACAAGCAACAAGTCACGATTTAGTGCATTGCACTTTCAGGTTGCCCCACAAAGTCGTGTGCTTCGCGCTAGTCTGGTTCCGTGTCCCTATTGTCATTCGGACTTCAAATGTGGGACGGGGACAGGTAGTTAACATTGAATCCTTGGGAAGCTTTCCTCCTAATAATAATATGCAAATGATATGCATGACGTGCACGTCTGAATCCCGCCTCCTGAATTCAAACTCAGACCGGAATGTTTGGGAGAAACCAGCCTATAAGGCAGCAGGCAACGAATATGCAATTTCGGAGGTGATGGGCTTCGATTTTTGTTGAATTCGAAAGTGTCTCTGGCAACTATCAATAAAGAGAGGGGCGTTACCGTTCGGTATTTAAAACCTATGCAATTGAAATGCTGGAGAGTTGAAATCATGGAGACACGTACAGGCGATATTGCCTACTTTTTGTGGTAAGACAAGATTTATGTTTTTTTGATAACCATTGTGCACAAAGCTGACTAGTAATTCAACAAGCATGCTGCGTGCGCAGAGGCGATCCTAGCAAAGCCTTTAAATGGGCGCTAGCTACACTGCAAAAACTGTGTTTTAGCAAATTAAATACTTTTCAAAATACTTTCTTGCTATCAGTTTGTAAACATGATTAAACACTTTCCATGTAAGAATGGATATTGTTTAGCAATTGAACATTGATTATTAGAAATTGAACACGTAATGTTTAGCTATACATTGTGATAGCATAGCAAGATTGTGTTTAATTGCTAAACGCAGTTTTTAGAGTGTAGCAGTCCCCATATTTTTTAGGGGGGCCGGAAAACAGTCTAGCTCCGCGCCTGTCTGTACAAACACATCAATAGAGGGCAGGCTTTCTATTTCTCAGCGCTGTCCTTTCTAGTGCCGATTTCAATATGAAATTGCCGCTGCACTGTAGACCTATATTGGCCTTCGTGAGATGTACCTGGCCTCAATAGGAGGGCGCTATAGTATGAGCTGGTGAAACCTTTTGTATCTAATCCAAATTCAACCCCAAACAGCGCCTTCGTAAATGTAAGAAATTGCACCTCAGTGTTATGTTTTAAACCCTCATTTTGAACTTTCACCGCACACAGTGATAATTTTGGGAGCTATGTTGCCGAGCAAACGGCTTCGAATGTTTGCTCTTAGCACGTGACTCTTGTGTAGTATGGCAGGCTTAAAGGAAATACATATATATACAATTACAACATTTGCAAACATCGAAAAACAAAACTAAAACGAAATATCTTACTATAGGATGCTGGTAAATGACAGTCTAAAGCATCCTGTAAAATTAGGGCACCTGTTGTGAAGTCATTTTCAAGAAAAGTGGTATTTTTGTATAAATGTCCAACGGTGGTCGGCCGACCACCGTTGGAAAACCTAACTATTTTTCAACTCTTTTTCCCAATTTACCATTTTTTTCAGTCCAATTTTTGTTTACTATTGGTTACATGTTCATGAACGTGTGCAGGCCAACTACACTGGTTCCCTTACCTTACAATTTTCCAGCATCTACAAATTGATTCATTTGAGTCAGGGAACCAAACTACCCGAACTTTTTTGTTTTTCTTTTTCCCAGCGTTTTCGAACACCGCGACAAAGCTTCAAACATGTCAGTGTAACAATTTCTGGTCCATTAAACTCCCCCCTCAAATACTTTATTTCTGAACATTACAGCAAAAGCCAATGAATTCTTTTAAATTCCTGAGTTCACCTGCCCCATAAATTTGACCCGGCCCAGTAACACCGAGGCCAGGAATGAAGAAAAAAAAACCGGGCCAGTGGATCAACATTTGTGATCTCCGAGCGGCCCAGAGTGATCCGCTTAAACCGAGTTGTGTCTTTTGGGTATCGCATGAGTAGCCAATTTTAATTGCCTTACCATGTGCCATGGTATACGCAGAGAGCCACTAGCCATATACGTAGTGGAAACAACTGATTTATTTATAACAGCCCTATACGATGTTTGAGCGTCTATTGGCAAGCAATTTTCCAGCGGTTTTCATCGGAACTTCCTCGCGATCAGAGAACAAAACTGAATTCGTAGTAAAATTGAAAAAATAAGTTCGGTTTCTGTTTAACTTGGGGTTGTATATTCAGGGTTTTTGGTGGATAATTTACAGGTAAACATGTAAAAACAATTCACGCTAATTGAGAATGATTATTTATAAAATCGATGTGTAGGTGTCAACTCAAATAATGAAATATGTGGGCGTTTTAATAATTTGCATAATATCTAGTTACTTTTTCTGGTTCGCAGTGAAACAGAAACAGTGAAATTCGCAGTGACTACCTTTAGTCTGGTTCCCTACTTCGGACGACATGGGGCAATTTATAGAAGTCGGGGAATTGTCAGGTCCGAAAACCATACTACCTGCCTTGCACCAGTTCACGGATGTGGACTAACTGAATTTGGTAAATCGGGGCATCGTTTAAAGAAAACAATCGTGTTTTTTTCCCACCAAACGATTGTCGGTCGACCATCGTTTGCAATTGAAAGAAACATCTCATTTTTCTTGAAAATGACAGCACACAAGGTGACATGATTTTACAGGACCCTTGAGACTATTACTATTCATTTACATTACGGTATTTCCTAATAATTTGGTAGTGTTGTTTTCTTTTATGTTTGCAAATATTGTATATTGCCTTTAAGTTAGTCCTGAATCCACACTCGGAGTTAGTTACATTGCGGGAAAAAAAGTTCCACCATAAAAACAAGATGTTGTTTTTTAACCTCAAACAATATGGTGAGTGGGGGTCATTTTATAGGTGTGCACAAGTATCCCTAGTATGTTAACTTCTGGTTAAACAATTATCGACGCATGAATATGCGGCCTTGGCAGGATTTAATTTGGCCGGCATTTGAGAATCACACATGCAACTCGTCACTTGGTTAAGTCTGTCTCGCTTCATAGCGTTGACGATATAATGGTTTTAACAGGAATGTGCATCTTTATACAATGTGTCCCGAAATATGTCCGTCTGACTGTTTTTAAGATAACTACAAAATCATAAGGTAATTTTTGCAAAATTTTGGTTGTGCAGATACTCCGAAGCCTTCGACCCTGTGAGTTTCATTTAATTTCAGTCACGCATCATGGCACAATTGTCAGTTGAGCACAACAACATTTTTGGACACTGTGACCAAGTTCAATGCCTTGATCAATTTCAGTGCAGTGTTATGTAAGCTGTGTAAAATCCTGCATGATGAGAATTTTTTAGGCTGATGTGGTTTGAAATTGGAATAATTTGCGGGGTCTACCCGATGTTCTGCAATGTTCCTTAATACCGATGTTCCCCGAAATCCCTAGGGTTAGGGTTAGGGTTAGGGTTGGGGAACTCGATATTGGGGAACATAGGTATGCACCCTAATTTGCCCTTGAGCATTAAACTGATGTCTTGCCATGATGACTGATAGCCAGGCAAATGATTCCAATCCAAACTGTAGTCCTTTTCACAACATCACGGATTTTACTATACCGGTACTGAAATTGAATAAGGCAAGGCATTTGGTCACAGTGTCCAAAACTTTTATTGTGCTTTTTGACAGTGTTGCGTGACTGAAATTAAATGACACTCGTAGGGTTGAGGCTAAGGCTCAGGAGTATCTGAACATTCAACATTTTCAAAATAGACCTCATGGTTTATTTTTAAAAATAGTCAGACAGACACTTTTTGGGGGACATTGTGTAGATGCGCAGTTCGATAAACCACGAACATTCCTGTGGTAAAACACATGAATCGTGACCCTGAAACAATACATACAGGTTATTTTCTTGGTTAGTTTTGTCATGGTTAGGATTAATTTCAAGAAATGGAGTGGGCTTATTTTTTGATCGTGCTTTCGAACTATGTATAAATAGTTCAATCAAAACCGTCATGAAGATTGTGTGAAGTTGTTAACTTCCTAAACCACCTACGTCAATTTCGCATGGTTCGCGGGACGCGCGATAGGCGAGCTCCACATCAGAATACACGGCTTCGCGGTGACGAATCGGCTGTCACCTCCCGCTTGACATTATTCTCATCGCTCAGAAAGTAAACCCATGTATTCAGTCAGGAAGAAGTTGTTTTTCTGTAATACGAGTATAAATGAATTCGCAGCTGTAAATATAGATAAGATACACAAACAGGCGTGCGCGGGATTACGTCAATCAGCCCTGCGTGAAAACATCTATTCATTATAGTTGCACACCGGTTTCCATTGGTTGCGTGTGGCAACCATTCAGCAGTCCAGCTTCAAGAACCATTAATTTTCAAGAATATGGGTCTGGGAGCTAGATAAGCCAATGTAAAAAAGAAAAATTCCCGGATGTCCGTGCCCGCCTATAGGCCTATACATTATCTATAAACATTTTGATAAAGTTGGTAAAAATGTACGGTACTGTTATTCTTTCTGGTGTAAAATCAGCGTCCCGATTGTTGGTACATTCGATTAAACTTGTATCAGCTTTTGGGAGACAATTACCCCAAACGAATATAGACCATTATCATGTTGCGGCCATCTTGTTTTTTTCCATACATATCAACGTAACCAAAGCGAGGCTGGAAGGAAAGATAGTCTGGTTCCTTTTTGCACAAAAACAGTATAATTCAGTACTGTTACTGGATACAGAGAACATTACTGAAATGGTGGCTGCATGATAAAGGTCTATACAGGCACTTGATATTTTGAGTAACGTTTGACAAGAAGATGAACAATTGCCTTACACAGTTTAATTTCTTAGGTTGTATGGAAAACAATGTTATTCTTAAACGCACAACCAACACTGAAAAAAAAATACAATTTCTTATTAATTTTCTTCATCTCATGAGCTAAAAACACATAGAAGAAACGCTTTAGTTAAGTGTACGTTATTTTACTTGGTATACAAACTAGTCCAGTTATCCAAAATCAAGTTCAAACAAAAGTTCAAAAGTGAATAAGGGAATAAATATAGGCCTATGCTTGGCCGGTTTAAAATAAGTCTACGTTTAAAACCGGCTAGGGGACATTATCGGCGACCAGGCCCCCAAGCCGGTTTGAAACGCACTTGTTTAATACCGGCCAAGCACATATTTATTCCCATTCATGAATACCTTTCGGTAAAAAAAAAAGTCAAAACAAGTCAAAAACTCACACATTCCCAACGATTTTTTGCCGGAACAATTCTACGTCATGTCTACGTCGTGAAACACCCCTCTAGCCATGTTTATGGTATGTGCCCCGCGCGCGTTGTGCTAAAAAATCTCCAAGAGTTGACTCGCAGAATTCTATTTAAAAAAATCTTTAATAACACCATTGCTCTCGAACATGTTGATGCTCGATGCTAAAAATGGATCTATCGCCGTTTGCGAGTTAGCCACGCCCCTTAGACAATGGCATGGAATTTTGTACGTTAAGTTTTGTTTGTCTCAGAGTTTGCGCGTTCCGCGTTCATTTGTATATCATCTAATTGGACAATGTTTCACAAGCTGCGTTGACGCGATTCTACCGCGAAAGGTCATTTATAGTCTTTTTTATTCTATAGCTATGATTATAATCACTCTACCCACGCGCGCGCGCACTGGGGATCGCGCGTGCCGCGTGAGGCATAGTGCGTGGGATTGGGACCACGGGTCATCATATCGCGATCAGTCAAGTGCGGACGTGTGGTTGGAGAGCGCGACTTGCTGAATGATATAAAAATGGAATTACGGGGGAGCAACCATCGCACTTGTTTCCTCCGATGCTGTAGCCGCGACGGGAAGGTATTGACTTCTTCACACCACAGCAAAATTAATCCAGTCCCCGTACCGGATCGGCGTTTGCGTTACTCCGCAGCGACAGCAGGTAAGCTTGACGATATTCTGTCGTTACCAAAACACACAGATACAGATATTGCTTTTTCCTTTTCTTAAGCCTGTGTGCGTTTCTCAATCATGAAAATTACACATTTATTCCTTTTTGCTGAGTGATCGAAATGACTTGTTAACTTGACTTACTATTTTTTTTTCGTTGTGAAGAACCTGCATGTTCTCACTCTTGGCAGTTAAGTTTAGTCTACCCGTGTGCTCTGCAACATATATGATTTGTTTTCTCCGATTTTGCATTTTAGTTGTTGTTTTTTTAAGGAAAAAAAGCTATACGTTTACTTATTTTGGACCGACCTGAAAAGACGCTTTTACTTTTGGTTGCTTTTGTGCCAATTACGCACAAAAAGACACGCCTGGCTTACTTTCGGGCCGCAAATAGTTAAAAATGTGTAAACTAAATAACCCATATATAAAAGCTGGCGGACTTTTTGTGGATGGAAAATTACCGGTTACGAATCGGAACTAATACATTGCTGACAGTGAAGTTGATAAAACTTTTGCGCAAGCGCATGACTTTGAAAGGAACTTTTTCGACGAACTTGGACAGATATTTTGTTTTATAAATTATCATAGTGTTTTTTTTTTCTCAAGTTTTTGGTCTAAATCTCTTAAATTTACGAACTTCCCCAAAACGCTATTTTATCTAGAACCGTTTTTTAAAGGTTTTAATTTGTGCTGGTGTTTTTTTTCCTCCGGGAATCTTGCGGATTAAATCATCTTAGAAACCTGTTTTTATTACTTTATTGAAAAAAATTAATCGGATTGAGAAAAAGACTATTTGCACAAAACCAATGCTAAGGTGTAAATTAATAATTACAATGCTGAGCGTTTGTGTTCGTATATGTGTGTGACCTGAATGTCTGTATAAATGACGATAAATTATTTACCCTTCTCTTACGTTCTGGGCCACCAAGGATTAGTTACGAGAAGTAAAAATTCCTTTTGTGGATGATGAATGTTGTTTAGATTTGTGTCTAATTGAAAGAAGTCGAACGTCTGTAATAAAAACTAGGACAATATTGAATGTTATTCCAGCAGATATAAACAGCATACGGCGTGCCAGCCCACCACCCTACAAAATTATACAGAGCATGGTAATTGATTAATCTCATATTCCAACGGCACCAACGAAACCGAGAAATGTTGGACCACTCGGAATGTTTAATTTACGGGAATCGTTGACAGCGTGTCTCTCGAACATTCTGACGTGTGCTTTACCATGGAATTGTTTAATAATCAAGAAACTATAGGCAGCTAATTAAGCCCTTCAAATTCGACGGCAGACAAACAAGGGCTTGGAGGTAATCCGGAACGAAAACGGCAGATATTAACGTCGGCAAAATGACAGATTGGTTAATTAAGTACAGAGCGTGAGTAATAAAATCAAATGTATATATACAAATTTACCTAAGTGTTAGTGCTACTTGATTGAGACGTGGGTTTGATCAAAAATCCTCTCGGAGACAGGAATTGATAACACGCAGCAAATACATTAAAATAATGACCTTTTTTATGGCTTATTCTTAAATGTAATGATACGTGAAGCAAAGCGCAATCTAAAATGAAACAGATGTTTTGTATATACATGTATTTTGCAATCTGCTCGAAATCTGCTTACCGACTTGAGCAAGACAACAATTAATGAAAAAGGCAAATGCCACGCAAATTTTGTCCAGGTACCAAATTTAAAAATAAAGAAAGTCAATATTTTGATTTTTTGGCCGTTTACCTTGTTTAAACCACGTTATAGCAACGATTTGCATTTAGTTGAATTCTGTGTTTATTGGTCATGTTTGAATCAGCAACGAACTGCATTAAAACCCATAGCGGTGCAGAAAAATGTCGGAAAAAAACAACAATCTGGTGTCAACACAAAGGCAACACAAGCTTCAACACTGCAAAAACTGTAGTGTTAATTTAACACCATTCGGTATCTATATAGGTCAACACCAGTAAAAATTTAACACCAGATGGTCCTAGATAGATACCAATGGTGTAAATTTAACACTGCAGTTTTAGCAGTGAACCTGTCAAGATGTCTTCAAGTTGAAGTCGTGATTACGAAGATCTTACCAGGGAAAATTTTATAAATGAAATTAAAGCGACAGAAGGTATCATAATTGTTATTATCAGTCTTTCGTCAGGGCGCCGAAAATGGCGCGTGGGTTGAGGTTTTTGTATAAAAACACCGCATCAATCTTACAAAAGCCTAATGAACTGTTTCATCACCCTGTCTTGCTATAATCTGATTACGGCTGATGACAGGGACAATCTGTCAACCTCGTCCCCGCGGTGTCGAGCAGTACGCTACCACTAGCTACTCTCTCGCCTGACTTGATCAGATGCATTTCGAAACCATCTTTTATAATTATTGCAAATAGGCAGACTTGTATGACTCGTACGTGACTCGGATTTGAGTCCCATTTTGTGACTCGGACTCGAGTCACGAGGACAACATGACTCGGAATCGGACTCGACCCCGCGGACTTGGACTTGCACTCGGACTCGACCTGCTTGACTCGATCCAAATTACTCCTGACTCGGACTCGAGTCCCATTTTCCGTGACTCTGACTCGGACGCGAGTAAATATGACAAATGACTCGGAATCGGGCTCAACCCTGAGGACACGGACTTGGACTCGGACTCGACCTACTTGACTCGGGACTCGATCAAATTATTTTTCAACGATATTATTACAAATTATTTTGAAGAGCACGATCCTCTCCTGAGTAAGCTATACAGTCTGCGCGGTGCAGAAAAAAACCGCACACAGCGCGTGCGGCTGGCTTGTTTCCGATGTATTGATTTTTAGAAATTAATATATCAAAATATAAACACCAGCGTCCACACTTGATATTGCGTAAATGCAAGCTTGATAGTGTTCGGTACCAGATTATCCTTTCCTGACACTGAAGCCTTGCCTTAATTGACACGTTATAGAGTGAAATCTTGATGTGACAAACCTCAAGGCAACAGGGTATAAATGTGACTCAAGCAGAGTTTTGAAGGCAATGGATTCTTTGTTTGATTTTACAGTTGTTTTGCGTTATCTCCAGTTCATTAAATTAGAGAAAAGCTGTGAAAAATTGAAACATTTACACTGTGAGGTTTTAGCAATACATCAATATGTATTTCCAATTTATGTTAAAAGTGACTTGACCATTGTGACTCGTGACTCGGACTCGACTTGCATGACTCGGGACTGGGACTCGAACTCGACCTGTGTGACTCGTGACTCGGACTCGACTTGCATGACTCGGGACTGGGACTCGGACTCGACCATTGTGACTCGTGACTCGGACTCGACCTGTGTGACTTGTGAGTCGGACTCGACTTGCATGACTCGGGACTGGGACTCGAACTCGACCTGTGTGACTCGCGACTCGGACTCGACTTGCATGACTCGGGACTGGGACTCGGACTCGACCATTGTGACTCGGACTCGACTTGCATGACTCGGGACTGGAACTCGGACTCGACCATTGTGACTCGGACTCGACTTGCATGACTCGGGACTGGGACTCGGACTCGACCATTGGGACTCGTGACTCGGACTCGACTTGCATGACTCGGGACTAGGACACGGACTCGACCTTTGTGACTCGTGACTCGGACTCGACTTGCATGACTCGGGACTGGGACTCGGACTTGACCATTGTGACTCGTGACTCGGACTCGACTTGCATGACTCGGGACTATAGGACACGGACTCGACCTTCGTGACTCGGACTCGACCTGCATGACTCAGGACTAGGACTCGGACTGGGACTCGGACTCGATGTTTGGTGACTCGAATACAAGTCTGCAAATAGGTGCAGATTACAGTTGGTTGCCTATATATACAACACTCATTACTTGATATACTGCGGGATTCAATCAGAACACAAAAGGCAAGTTACCATGCCAGGGGCTATTACTGTCTTGAGGTTAAGAATAGATCCTGGGAACGAGGTTGGCCCATCACTGTACCAGTTAATCAACGTTCAAGGATGACCGAGTAACGGCCATTACAAGCCTCGTGCCATTTTTTAATGACATAACGAGTGAGCGAGACGGATCGACAACACAATGCATTACGTGCCACACCTGCCGCACCATCTGCTGAGGTTGATTTGGCTCTTGGTCTTTCATGTCGAAATCCATCATTGGACAATAAGAGCCATAGTGTCAATTCCAAATCAATCACAAAGTCAATTACAAGTCGTCTGAAATCAAGTGATGATTTCTGAAAAGTCATATCGGATCATTGGCATTTTATCCTAAAAAGAACCTAGCGATTTTTTTTTATCAAAAAGCTTGTTTGGATTAAAGATCGTTTAAAGCACCCCGTGAAATTATTCCGTCTGGCTTGCTGTCATTTAGAAGAAATCAAGAAGTGTAGGTGATTTCCAAGGATCAGTCAATTGATCTTTGGAAATAAAGAGTAATGTCAACGAAGTCATGTCTCGTAACAGTGGGTTGTGCATGATTTTTCACTGTTTCATCTATAATAGTGTAATGTCCACTGAACTGAAACGTCATAAGGTCAGGTTTTGAACATTCTTCTTTGGATTTAGAGTGGTGCTGCTATTGGAAACGAACAAAATGCATGAATAGCAAATGATCCTACATGTTTTTAATGAACGATAACATTCATTTGCTTTTAATTAATATCCAATTTTTTTGTGTGGTCTGACTTCAGATTTGACTTGGGAGTGACTTGTGATTGGCTTGTATATTGACGCGGTCACAGCTCTGAAACGAACGAATCGAACCTCAAGGATATGCACTTACGCATGACCCGAAGAGGGCGCTATAGCCTTACGCAAAGTTGTCAAAGCTATTTAAAATAGCTTATAGCTTTGGGTACGGAACCACTTTACAGCACACCAAAAGTACACACATTAATTATTGACATAAGAAGAATGCATGCCTCATTAAACAAGAAAACCAGTTTTAGTCATTTCTTTCTGATCGAAATGTGGTAACGCTCTAGGACCGTGGGTCTTGGGCCACTGTGGCGCCTTATTTCAGAAAGCAGGAAGATGACTAGGACTTACGAACATTTCAAGAACCTTTGCCAAAGACTGAATACATATTGGTTTTCATGTTGACCGGGTTTATAGTTCCAATATCCAACAGTTGTATCCAGTGGTGTGTGTAACGGTATATTACAGCATGCCCCCTGTCCCCATCTGCCTTTTTTGTGGGTACATTTTTAGCAACAAAACTCGTTTGAGTGAGAAAAAACAGCAGCTATGCCATCAAAATGGTACTTTTTCTGAGAACCTCCCCACAGCTGATGAGGATGATTAGGTTGTCGGAGCTTATTTGTCTTTCATATAATTTTCTGGTCCAAATTCAACTTGCTTCCCCTGTAGACTGGGCTCAGCTCTGTACATGTGCTTTCACAATCGAATAGGTTTTCCTGAAAATAGAACTCTCTCGAGGGCCCCTCCCCCGCATTTAAAACTGTCATTTCCATCAAAAAAAAGATTACTGGCGCCTGATAAATAATTACTTTGAAATGACAGTGGTTTCGTCATCGACTAAAGATAATGCTCGACTCCCTATATGACTTTGGTAAGTGTACATTCGCTCACTGTCAGTTCCAGTACATGGTAAGCGAATTAAGATTTGACTGGGATAACGAGATGAAACTGATTACATTTTTGTTTCACCCTGAACCTTTTTTTTCTTTCGAGAATCAATAATTAGTCTAGCAGACCAGCAACCAGCGTGTGTCTCCATAACCATAACGACAACACGCGGGGAGCGATTGGTCTGGGTTCAACTGCTTCACATGAGTCAGCTTATGCACAATCGCTCAGTTGTAACATTTTTATACGAAAATAACGAACGAAATTCTCTGGAGCATACAAGTTAAAATTAAATTAGACTTTGTTTTAACGGTCACCGCAAGAGTCGAAGGACAGCCGACGGTCATGACAGTTTGATTGGTTGCGTCAGATACGCAGAAGTTAATCACACGAGACCTGCTGACGATAATTTCTAGGTATCGACTGATGGAGAAACTATTATAAACACTTCATTTGATTTTCGTGAAGTCCATTTTATTTTTGGCTGATTTTTTTTCTCTCTCTGTACGTGCGTGAGTTACGCAAGCGCAAATACGTTCCCTCCCTTGAAAAGGTGACCGTTTATGGCTAATTGTTCGGTGTGGTATGAGATTTTGGTCTTCTATGATATTATGTCGTTTGACCTTATTAGGGACCTGCAGCCCCACGTGACTGGGTACAAAAGATCTGAGATGTTACCAAAATACAGAAAATTCACATGCTAACATATTGCATTACGACACTGATCTACAATTTTGTGGTTTTATTTCATTTATTAAGTGCAACATGCTAAATAGAATTTTCATTTCGTTCTGTGAATGGATACCTTTACTCGCATAAACACTTGTTTAAACATCAATTCACATTCAATAATCATTATGGCTTAGCACCAAAGCCATTATGCGATATTTCCGATTGTCCTTCGTTATACATTTCGCATCGCTGGCGTACGGTAATTTAATATTGTCGTATGCGGGCCAAAAATCCCATTAGGGCTAATTCGTTAATGCGATATTGGCACACGGGAGGCACAGGGCGTAGTATATCACTGTCAGATTCTTCACTTAACAGGTCAGTTCGTAATTTTCCTTATTTCCTCCGTCATCACTGACATATATTCCCTCGTTGGTTACTGTTTGATCTTCCTGGTGTAAGTGGACTAACCTGTTTATACGTTCAGCTATCAGCAGATGTTGTTTTGTTTTGGAAGGCCCGTTACGGCATTAACTAAAAGGGCCGGGTTATTTTGACCATCTCTCAGCCGGGGGCGGAATCCGCCCCCCCCCCCCCCCTAAGATCTCGGCCATCGAGTGACGAAAAATTTTGAAACTCGGTAAATGCATAGAACAACTCATCATAAACATACCCAAGAAATGACATGACTATAGGTTTAAGGGTTTTGGAATTATGGCTCATTAGTTATTCATATGTACGAACGGTAATTCTGGTCTGTGTTCACGACGTATATGGGAAAATTCAGTTTTCACGGTGCGTAGCGCCGGAAATTTTCGCTGCGCGGCAACCCGATTTTTATGTTTTTGGTATCAAAACAATGTGCCAGGCTCAAGGCTAAAAAGTCATAACAGCTCGGATCGCGAATAAAAGCTGGGGGAGGGGGGGGGGGCGGATTCCGCCCCGGCCCTTTTAGGGTTATGTATCATCTAGGCTTGACTTAAAGATGAATTCCCTGCGTTAATTTGGAGTTTCACCTAAAGAAAAAGATTTGTTTGTTTTCCAATGGCTATTTTCCTAGAAATGTAAAAGTTATTCGCTCTTGAATTAGACATCGAACGACAACATCCACCACCGACGTTTAGTTATTGAATAATTTCTACACAAAAATCGAACTAATGACTGCACGACACTAGTTCGGTTCTCATTGGGCGGGTTCGTTTATGTGCACAATGAAACTCCTTTGTCAGAGGGTTGCAGACGCCAAAAATCGGAATAAAGTGTGTTTTGTTTCGTCAAAACAAAACATACAAATTGACAATTCGTTATGAGATAAAAAAAAAATCCTTGTTTTAAAGAGCACGGGGAGTGCATCTTTGAGGTTCTGCTACGACACAAACGTCGAAAGCACGTGTCACCACTATTATTTCTGACGACATTTGAAACCAAATTTTGCAACATCTGCCACGTGAGCGTAATCTGACCCATTTGCAGAATGGACTGCGCCCATTGATGAGCCCCAGCAACATCTGTATGTGAAAAACAAAATGGAAACACATTTTGACGAGCCGTCCTAATGCCATGACGTCTATGACGATTTCCCACTTTAATACCAGCGAAGCGTTCCAAATATGAAACAGATGTGATACCAAGTGTGCGCATTGTAGACCAACAACGTCATACGGTATGTTCGAGAGTCAACAGCTAATTAATGGAAAACCACACATTACGTGGAGTCTTTTTTTCCCATTATTTTCAAAAAATGTGTCCGCCCACTGCTTCAAATTCTCACTGCGCTCCAAATTAAGATGAATTTCTGATATAAATGGATGGTTCAATTGCTGAGATCAACTATACTTCATGCACCATCAGGCATCGTCAAGCATGCATTTCTCATTAATTAAATGCATGAATTATGTTGTTTTTTTATTGAGTAATAACATTTATCTGTCAGCAATCCTTAAAGTGCGGGAAAGGTTTGCAAGTTTAACTAATGAATGGCGAACTGAGTAAACATGATTCGAATTTTAAAAGATTAGAAGTGTACAGGGTGAGTAAAACAAAAACGAAAATTTTTAGTGAAGTTCTGCATGCTGTAGCACTTACAATATTGTTAGATACTTAGAAGGATTCAGCGCTGGCTGATCAGTTGGAAAAAAATTGTGTACACTAAGTTTTGGTGAGAAAAATGATCGGGTTTTTATATGCAAATGCAAAAATAAGTTACATCAGGTGAACCATTCGAAAATAGGTTTTGATTTTCCCATCTTACTATAGTCACCGCTAAGCTTAAGCTACATCATGGCGAGAGGCGTCCGTGCGTTGCCAAGCATAACACGTAGGATGGGATATCTCATTTCCAAGATGTAACTGTAGTCGATCCGTTTCGCTGACGTCTTCAGAGACATGACAGATGAGCCGTGCTGATGGAGCATGTGATTGCAATCAGCCTGGCTCGTCATGTTGCTCACATCAGTAATGTTCACGAACCAATCAACATTCAGTTCAGCGTGTCGTGTATGTACGAACGTTCCTATTGGATTGCAGTAGTCTGGTTTTTCGGATTCCAGCCAATCAGCAACGGTTTCACGCCGTTTTGTTTATTTCCTTATTTTCTTATTTTTGTTTTAAACTGAAAAATTGACTGGATTAATTTAACCGAAGCAAGGGTGAAACTGCAACTTCCCAAAACTAGGTGGTTCTTTACCCAATTGTTTTGGTTAAAATTTCTGTTAATTCCAACAAAACTTGTGGTCATACAAGACCAAATTAAATTTAGTCTTGTGTGACGACAAGTTTTGGTTGAATTTAACGGAAATTCTAACCCAAACAATTGGGTAAAGGATAACCCAATTTGGGGTAGTGACAGTTTTTCTTCCTTCCTTGGGTAAAATTAACCAAGGCAATTTTTCAGTCCACTTGTCTGCCATTAAGCAATGTGAAGAAATTACAGTTTTAGACGTGGGAGGAAAACCACAGAATAGAACATTCTGAGGAATACCCACGGAATCAGGCAGGGACTGAAAACCTAATCCGCATATTGGCCCAGGTGGGATTCAAACCCGTGTCACAGCGGTGCAAGGCGAGGAACGTACAAGTACGTCAACCTGACCACGTTTCTTATTCTATTAGTATTTCATGCCATTTTTTTTTCTACAGATATTTCTGGCAAAGATGGTGTCTCACTTGGTGGCGCTGTTTACGTGTCTGTCATTGGTAGTGTTAGTGTCAGACACAGATGCCCAGTGTTATTATTATGGTAAGTTAAGCTCTTTTACAAAAGATGACATAGGCTAAAGCAACCTCAATCCCAGCTCTATCCTAAACCGATGCCGTGTTATACAGGGTGACCCAAAAAATGCAACCCTGAAATTGCCTTTTCAGAAACGGGATCAGTGATTTTTAATGTTTTGCATATCAGAGTACATGAGAGTTTCTGTTTTTTTTTCAAATGCTGAAAAAATCATGAAAACAGCACATTGGGTACTTTTTGTTGCTGAGAAAGTGCCAATCATGTAACAAAAGTTAATATTTATCCTTTCCATAACACGGGTGCTTCAAAACATGTTACTGTAAGGCCACTGTGCAAAATGTCTTTCATTTGTGCAAATTCTTTAATATTTTGACATATTTATGATGCTGAAATGGCTTAAAATAAGATTAAAAGGATGAGACACGTGTTTAGGTGGAAAATAAAAGTTTCTATCAAACTCTAATTGTCACAATTATGTGCCGTGTTGTTTGTAAGGATTAGGACACAATGCGCTACATGAATTTCATTCACAAATTGATACAGTGTAATTATCCCTTTACCATGGTAATGCCATTGGAATGGACAAAAAAGGAGTTGTATTACACGTTACATAATTGGCATTTTCTCATCAACCTAATGTGCCATTTTCATGATTTTTGTTGCAGTATTTGAAAGAAACAACTCTCAGCTTTAATCGGAAATCCAAAACATAAACATTCACAGAACAGCCACGGACAGTTCATTTTTCCCAGTGAATTGTGGGAGATGGTCGACAAATTCGCAGCGCGGGACACTTGAAATTGTTAGTTTTTTTCCGGTCAGTAGTTTCGTAAGAGTATATATGATTCGAGCATAATGTTTGCCCTTTTCTTTCTTTTTATCAATATCGGCAGAACGCTCATGCCCAGTCTATAGCAAATTAGCTCAAGTTGTTTACACTCGGGGCCGTGTTCTGTCGATCGTATACGAGCTTGAAAAACGAGCTCTCCGATGGCAAACTCTTGGTGGCCCACTGAATTGTAAAATCGCACGAATTAACATTTCACTTGTTGGTTTCAGATGGTCCTTGTGTCTACGACAAGCATCACTACGGTATGTGGGAAATGTGGGACACTGACGATTGTGAGATGTGCTTCTGCGATGGCGATTTCGGCTACGAGTGCTGTTCAAAGTAGGTTATCACACATGCAGCGATTTTTTTCCCCCAAACGAGATCGGACAATATCAAAAGAGGGCGCCTTCTCTGCAATATGCAGATCCATGATGTCTAGAGCTTTAACAGTGAATAAGTGGAAATAATGGTGTTTAAATCACCGACGATTGGCAGCTGATTCGTGGACTGGTTGGAAGTAGTCCTGACTTCTAATCAGGTGATCCGAGTTCGAATCTCAGAGACCGTTTTTCACTTCTTCTTATATTACCTTTTAAATAACTAAAGTGAGGAAGGAACATTTCTCACAAGACGTAAAACCTATCTTGGGTTTGCGTTGTGGAGAACAAGGTATTACATGTGCATGAAGATGCACAAAAGGATTCGCTGCCGGCGCGGTACGCGCTCTTTTATTTGCTCGAACCAAAGGATCTAACATCAAAAGCTTTCTTTTCTCCTTTTTTTTGTCTTACACTCCGGGCAGGTTTTACGTTCCCACCGTCTACGACCACGAAAAATGCACCGTGATCAAAGACAAGAACACCTGCCAGACACGGCTGCTTGACAAAGAGGGCAACGAATGCGAATCGCTCGTTGGAATTCTGTAAACAGCTCCCGATTGGTTGGCCACCGCGCCCACAGCTGCTGCTGCACCTGTTCCTCATTTCCTCCGAACGCGATGAAATTCCAGCGGAGATATGACCTAATTTGGAATTCCTGTTGCTTTCACTAACCCTCTTCTTTTTATCCCTTTGCCTTTTGTATAATCCATGAACGGAAAGGGGCCAACCCTTTTTGGGGGAGGAGGGGGGGTGGTTACGATTGAATGGGAGTTTTGTGATTGTTTTTGTATAATCGATATTGATTGGCATTGCTTTTGTATGATGGCGTTTTAAGAAATACTTTTCTGGGACAGGGCCAATACATTGAATTGGTGACAGCGATTGACACTGCGTCCAATCACACACGTACGGCCCAGGGATGCGCTCCACATTAGTATTGGTGACAGTAAATTGGCCTTTTTCCTAAACAAGGACGCCCTCTGGCGGTGAACGAAAGTTATCATGTTGCCTTATCATCCTCATTATTAGGACCAAAATTATTTAAAAAATTAAACCCTGACCTTCCTAAATTCTGTTTCATCGATAAGGTGAATTCTAATGATTTTTGCTATATTTATTGTTGGTAAATGTGTTTGCCTTGTCCACTTTTTTCTGCGTTGGAATAGTTAGCGGTTTTTTTTCAGTAGGTTCGCAACTAAATGGTTCTTGAAATATTAGGTTTGCGCAGACATGCCTTCCGGTTTTTTTTATAACACGTTAAAATATGAGTCCACCCATCAGCTTTGTGTGACAATTAAACACAATACCAGTGGCCGAAAATGTGGAAAAATATAGATTGCTTGCACGACCGCTTAATTTGTAAGGGCATCATTCAATGATATTAAATTTGATAATGGAGATTCTAACGAGACTAGTAATATTCAAGTAACATTTGTGGAGATTATTAATGTTTTAATTTAAAAGATTTCCGATGTTACCCGTTCCTTGTTTTTGAACCAACACGGGTGTTTACGTGGCCCTCGGTTTTTAACTAGACATGCAAAGTCCAGGTGCTGAACTTAGTCGTGTATACAGCCTGTCTCAAAAAAAATGGTACAATCAGAAAAAATTGGCTAAATATGAAATTTTAAAATAAGTCATTCTTACTTGGCATAATATCAACGAACAAAGACTGGGCTTTCCAATAGTGTTTGTTTGATCGTATTTGCGTTTGTCAATTCAGAGATATAATCAATTTAGTGCGATACACCAAAATCGATTTTGTGCCACTTTTATGCATGGGCAGAGTTGTTTCGAGTACTGTGCCATGCTGTCTTGAAGCTCACAAAAGATTGCAACTTGGCAAAAGAAACAAACTCGATTTTTGTGTTCCGCAGTAAGCTGGAGTTATCTCTGGATTGACAAAAGCAAATGAGATGAAACAAAAAGTATTGGAAAGCCTGGTCTTTTTTCTTTAATGTGATGCTCAAAACGACTTACTTATGTTGAGATTTAATATTGAAAAAAAAAATCGTTTTCGATTGTACCCTTTTTTTTGAGACAGGCTGTACATCAAGTAAAATATGGTAGCTTTGTGATGTGAACACATTCTTTTGGGTGACTGCTCTTATGTTCCGACACCCCTGTGTTCCGACAATCCACACATAAGATTATGTTACTCCCGGTTAGGGTTAGGGTTAGGAATAGGAATATGTGCAGTCGGGCATAGGGGTGTCGGAGCATAGGGGTGTGGGAACATGGGGGTGTCGGACCATAAAGGTGTCGGAACATAGGTGTGTCGGAACATAGAGGTGTAAGCTCATTTTGTGCTGTAAGATTTCCTTGTGATAAATTCCGAGTACGTTTATCACGGATGTTTTGGACGGACACCGGAAGTACGGGTTATAGCTATACAAAGATGGCACCATCGGCCACTATACTTGTCAGTGAACGAAATTGCTTCAGTTCTTTCACCCCAAAAAACTACAGTGGCCGATACATCACGCCCGTACACATATAAGTATCTGCTTCCACCGGTCGGAAAGCCCCATGGTTACATTCAATAGGATGCATATTGCCTTTTCCACGACATACACAGATCTTGTTCACATGATTTAGTTTGAATTGTTTTCTGGAAATAAAGAACAGTGGCAAATTAAAATCGACTTCATTTTGTTGGCATCGTTCTAATCATTGACTTTCTTTAATTGTCTTGTATATAAAATACCGTAAAAAATTACAAAGCTAACTCGACTGAGGTGCTTGTTATTCTTTATTAATAATTGACCAATTATAAAGAATAATATTTTCACGACTATTTTCTCTTGTTAATGGATTGAAAATGGATGATGCGGCACAAATTACTATCTTCCCAAAGCACGTCATAAACGCGAATAATTTCAGATGTTCACTTTCAGTAGTATAAGTAATCTAAGTGTATTAATTGCTCAGTATATTTTCAGTTCGATAAATGGTGACTTTTGATTTTAAAAAGCAGCAAGATTTTCTTTCAGGATAGGATACACAACTTTTGATTTTAAAAAGCAGCAAGATTTTTTTTCAGGATACACAGTGTAATGTGAAGGCCTATGTTGCCATGCGTAGATTAAGTAAAGGATCCTTGTAATTAGAAACACAAAGAGAAAACTGACACCATTTTCCAATAAATCCATCGAACATGTTACTATTGGCTTGAGACAAAAGAGTCATGCGCGCTCGAACTATGGAGTGTTTAGTACAAATAAATTTCCCAAAATTTACCAAATTTATTAACAAAGACATTACTTTTTGTTTGTCTTTGACCTGCAGTCTCCTCACTTCATCAGGAGACTGCAGGTGCCAACTAGTCTTGGGTGAAGTGTATTAGTTTAAGGGATCTAATGTCACAAGGTGTCACAAAAAACGTTTGTTTCACACCTTTTGTTGAATGGGTTGTAATTAAGGTAGGAAAAATTAGCCTGCAAAATTTACACGATCGCATGGAATGCTAGGATTAAATTCTGATTTCGTCATCTCTAAGCGTAAGCAGCATTTAGACGACCATAGCAGGTATCTCGAAACAAAAGATGTCCGCCATCGTTTGGTCCTGAAGCTCCCATTTCACGTACAGATTGACCTGTGAAATAGAAGGTAGGCAGCATCAAGACACGGTTATATCTCTGTCAAAATGGACTTTGCAATGCCCATGCATCAGAAATGGAGTGTCATGGCCTAGCGGTTAAGAGCACCGGACTCACGATCTGGTGTTTCAGAGGCAATAGTGGCGTGGGTCGAGCCGGGGTGGACACTTGTGCCCTTAAGCAAGGCACTTAACCATTATTGCTTCATCCTTCGAATGGGACGTAAAGCTGTAGGTCCCGTGTGTTGTGTAATGCAATGCACGTAAAAGAACCCAGTAACTTTTATCGCTAAGAGAAGGGGCTTAATCATTTTAACAAAATAATGTGATGCATGGCTGATTGAAATCACATTTACGTACTTCAAGTGGTGAAGCACAAAAAAAGCTATCCGGTTCGTTAGTGTGACGTCATTTCAACTTAGCCATGTGTACTTCACACAGTGTAGCATAGCACGAATGGAACCGGAAGTTAACGCAACTTGAGTGTTTAGCCAATGGGCACTTGTAATCAGTGGTGCGTACGCGTGTATGACGACGTCACTAACGAACCGGATAGCAGATACCTGATGACGTCATTAAATTCGGAGCTTAATTCTGAAGTATTGAAATCCTGACTTATATTTCTTTGAAAATGATGAAATTTCGGAAATACCCTCCGATCGTTCCAGCTTTCCACAATTCATTTGTATTTCATTTCAGTATATATATTTTTTCCCAAGTCAACATTCTTGACTAGAAATGGTTATGGAACTTAATTTTTTTAGTCGACTCCAAATGCCTCGTTAAGTTGAATTAGATTGTTTAAAGTCAAATTTGACTTGGTTTATCGTACTGTATACTTTACGGGTACGTAAACCTATTGAACCAAATAGATAACGGGTATATAAACAAAAACGCAAAGAGAACTTTAGGCGTTCGATCCACGTTCGAGAAGTACACGAATAGTTCAAGGTATATCTGAAGGCTTTGTGATAAAGAGTGTGTTTACTACAGCACTGGCTGATAGGCTTCATATCGGGCAAGTTCGATTGAGGCCCATTGGTCGGCCCATTCGTGACGTAACTCACGACTGCGCACTACAGGCACCATCTCGCTTGAAATGTTTGAACGGATCGCCATACTGGAACCAAAGCGAGGCTGAGTCGTCACCCACATGCAGGCCAATTCCATGGTAAGATTTGACCCGGAATCCGGGTCCATTGGGCTTGACACTGTTCCGGGTCAAATTGACACTATTCCGGGTCAAAATGGCATTTTTCTGGGTCTAAATAACACTCCTTTGACTCATTTTACGGGTCACCAAATTGACCCAGGAAAGTGTCAGTTTGAAGCGAGAATGTGTCATTTTGACACAAAATCGGATCAAAATGACACTTGTCCGTGTCAAACTGACACGTCTCATGGTCAAATTAACACTAGTTTAACTCATTTTCCGGGTCATTTTCACCAGAGAAAGTGTCATGGTCGTTCGGAATTGTGTCATTTTTACCTGGAAAAGTGTATGGCCCAATAGGACCCGGATTCCGGGTCAATATATGACCCGGGACATTTCAAAATGCAGATAATTATGAGAACCCAGCTTGGCAGATCTACCTATTTTTTAACCCAACGTATAGGACCCAATTTAATCCTACCGGCGGGTACTCAGGTTTCACAAACAGCTGCGCCTTGTACACGTTCTTGACCCCAGGTGCCAGCGGGCAGTGGATACCGGTGGTTTTGCAGGCGTCGGTGAACGCCGTGGGATAGGGCCTATCCACTTTACCGATGATACCGTGGACCACGGTCGTGGCTTTAGATGCGGTGGTGGCTCCCGCTGGTCGGAAAAAAAAAGAGAAAATTAAAAATATATATATATATATATATATATATATATATATATATATATATATATATATATATATATATATATATATATATATATATATATATATATATCTGTGTTTCCCTTGCTCTTCAACAAATTCGAGGTTACTTTTCAACTTGTGGGTTTTAATCCAACCTTCGGTAGTACCCCCCACCCTGCAAACAGGGCGCTGGTAAGGGCTGATGAGCTTCACAGAATCTTGTTAAGGAAGTATAGATTGACCTTCGCATGCAGCTAGCGCGCGCTACGCATGATGGGCACCGGAAGCTAGTTTGTGTGATGCGTTCTACGTCACAGGTCACGCAAATCTGTCCAATGAGAGCTCAAATGACGTCATCCCTGACCAGCGTCCTGTTTGCAGGGTGGGGGTACGAGCGAAAATTCAACCAAAAAACCTCCTCCTCCTTTTTTTTGGGGGGGGTGGGGTTGTCTGCAAACCTCTGAAAAAGGCTTTTGTTCATGCCACAAAGAGATACACTTTTAGAGAAGAGTGGCTGCAGGGCCGTGCATTATCATGGAGTGTCATGGCCCTGCGGTTAAGGGCACCGGACTCAAGCTCTGGTGTTTCGGATCAGCAGGGTGTGGGTTCGAGTCCCGGTCTTGACACCTGTGTCCTTAAGCAAGACACTTAACCATTATTGCTTCGTCCTTCGGATGGGACGTAAAGCCGAAGTAGGTCCCGTGCGTTGTGTAATGCACGTAACAATTATCGGTAGGAGAAGGGGTTTGCCACGGTGTTTCTGGCAGTGGCTGCTTTAAGCGCCTTGTAAACCCTTGTAAGGTGCTACACAAAATGGGTCCCATGTCTCAAATACTTCAAATACCCGTCTGTAAAATACATTCATATGCATTAACGACTTGAGTATCTAATTGTTTGTAGATACGTGCGCTTTATGAGACTCCAGTATTATTATAGAACGGAATTAATGTCTGGCAGTAAATAATTCGAAATTTGTAAAAAGTATAAATGAAATGACAAAACATACGCCGATGTCTCTTTCAAAAGCGAATAACTTTTGTATTTCTAGAAAAATAGCAATTTGGAAAAAAAAATTATTTTGGGAGGAATCAACTCGAAAATAGAATGTTGAATGGAACTTTGAATGTTTTGTAGATTAATATTAATCCGAACACATCTTGGCCCGATTTTCTAGAGCTCTGCCAAGCACATGTCATGAACGATAAATATCGCATGACAATTTTGCCGGCAGGTGTAATTGTTGATTTTACTGAATTTATTGTTGGGTTTTTGCCCTCCAGTGACGTATTTTACTAAGCCGTTATGCATGTTAAGGTCGGAGCAATCGATGATGAACCCTCGGACTATTAGATGGTACTTTAATGCGAGGTCAAATTAACTATCATTAAATAACAGTTTCATATAGAGCCGGCTGGTGGCAGGGTTGAGTCATTATATTTTGTTACCTAAACTGCGCTTGTTGTTTTTTAAGTACAAGTTGACTTTTTTTCATAAAAGGGAGTTTATTACTTACCGTTCAAAGTGAAGGTTATTGCTACGCTAACATTGGTTCCCCTCTTGAACTGGCAAGGGAACTTCGGACAGGGCATGATATCGACTTCACTCACGGTAGCATCTTGCGTTACGCCCTCTGTAAAGCAATATAAAAACAATAACAATAATAATAATAAAAACATTGAGAATTGCCAATTATGGGTGAAGACCACTGAAGAACTGAGTGCTACTCATTAATTTTCGTGGAGATTTCTCAAAGGGGTTGTCATTATTGACAACGTCCGTTCACTGCATTTTGAGCCTGTTTGAAAAGTGTGATTCGGGATAAAATACCTCCAAGGTAAAGGGGGTCGATGACACATCGTAGCTTATTACGATGCTTGCTGTGCGACTTCCCAAAAAATCGTGGGCATTTGCTTCGTAAATTTAGCAAAGCATTGAAGTAACGATAAGTCTGTGGGTCACTTGTCTTTTGAACGTCTGTTTCATGATATTACAATCGAAGAATTACATTCAGAATTAAACGTTATATGTGAAATCCTTCAAAGCACCTCTAACTCGGTTGATCTAGCACAACTTTACTACGTATCGCAATATGTCCTTCGCCACGAACACTGGTGTATAGTTAGGCCTATATACTTCATTCATTTCTTAAACGTTCATATCGTCCATAACTACAAATAAAAGATATTTATCGAAGTAAGTATGTATCTACTTACTGCACGGTAGGGGGTTGACCTTTTGACCACTGGAAAGATAAAAACTCAAAACTGCAGAAAGCAGAAAGAGTTTGAACATCGTTGACGACGACATGTTCCTCCGGGCAACCGATTTTGTCTCTTCCACAAAATAATTTGGGCAATTTTTTTTTTGCGGCGTGTACTGCCACTGAAAGCCGACAATCAATGATGGCCAGATCACGAGACGAGTCAAGTGACGAAGGCTATTGCTAGACATTCTACCCAAGGTCCAGAGGACAACTTTGCACAAAGTTTATTTAGGACAATTATCTCTGTTTTAAGTACCAAAAGCAAACAGTAGCTCTTTTGATACTCGTAATAAATAATCTGATGTGTCGCGTCGAATGGAATGTATTAGTTCTATGAAACAATTGCATTTTCACAATAATTTTCTCCATCTCGAGTTATGACCTAAATTGACACCTGGATGACCTTTGACATTACATCTTCAAAACAACACGATGTTGGCATCGTTCTAATCATCGACTTTCTTTAATTGTCTTGTATGTAAAATACTGTGAAAATAATTACAAAGCTTTCCTAAAACATTACTCGACTGAGTTGCTTGTTATTCTTTATTAATAATTGGCCAATTAAGAATAATATTTTAAAGACTCTTTTCTCATGTTAATGGATTGAAATGGATGATGCGGCACAAATTACTATCTTTCCAAAAGCACGTCATAAAAGCGAATAATTTCAGATGTTTACGCTCAGTCCTATAGTAATCTAAGTGGATTAATTGCTCAGTATATTTTCAGTTCGATAAATGGTGACTTTTGATTTTAAAAAGCAGCAAGATTTTCTTTCAGGATACACATCTTTTGATTATAAAAACCAGCAAGATTTTCTTTCAGGATACACAGTGTTATGTGAAGGCCTCTGTTGCCATGCGAAGATTAAGTAAAGGATCCTTGTAATTAGAAACACAATGAGAAAACTGACACCATTTTCCAATAAATCCATCGAACATGTTACTATTGGCTCGAGACAAAAGAGTCATGCGCGCTTGGACTATGGAGTGTTTAGTACAAATAAATTTCCCCAAATTTACCAAATTTATTAACAAAGACATTACTTTTTGTTTAATTAGATTTTGAAGGTTTGCATGGTGAGGTAAGAATTGGACGCTGTGGGTGACACCATGGGAAATAATTCTCTTCTTTTAAGTAATATGTGTTCCTGATGATAACACTAACGTTTCCCATGGCATGCCCTGTTCGTGTGACGTCATCAGGAGACTGCAGGTGCCAACTAGTTTTGGGTGAAGTGTATTAGTTTAAGGGATCTAATGTCACAAGGCGTCACAGAAAACGTTCGTTTTCACACCTTTTGCTGGTTGGGTTTTAAGGTAGGAAAAATTAGCCTGCAAAATTTACACGATCGCGTGGAATGCTCGGATTAAAGTCTGATATCGTCATCTCTATGTGTGAACAGCATTAGACGATCACAGCAGGAATCTCGAAGCAAAAGATGTCCGCCTTCGTTTGGTCTTGAAGCTCCCATTTCGCGTACAGATTGACCTGTGAAATAGAAGGTAGGCGAAATCAATACACGGTCATCTCTATCAAAATGGTTCTTGCAATGCCCATAACATGCATCAGAAATAGACCGTTGCTTAAATTTAAAAAAAAAAAGGGACTATGGACATTTGCAGCCGTTCTGACTCGGGCATTTCTGGTTGAAATCACATTTACGTACTACAAGTACCACAAAGAAGCTATCCGGTTCGTTAGTGTGACGTCATCTCAACTTAGCCATGCGTACTTCACACAGTATAGCACAGCGAGAATGGAACCGGAAGTTAACGCAACTTGAGTGTTTAGCCAATGGACGCTTGTAATCAGTGGTGCGTGCGCGTATGACGAAGTCACTAACGAACCGGATAGTAGATACCAGATGACGTCATTAAATTCGGAGCTTAATTCTGAAGTATTGAAGTCCTGACTTATATTTCTTTGAATTTGTTTTAGGCAATACACCCGATCGTTCTAGCTTTCAACTATATTTCATTTCATTATATATATATTTTTTTTCCAGTCAACATTCTTGACTAGAAATGGTTATTGAACTAAATTTTTTTAATCGACTCCAAAATGCCTCGTTAAGTTTGAATTTAATTTGTGTAAAGTCAAGTTCGACTTGGTTTATCGTTCCATATACTTAACAGGTACGTAAACCTATTTAACCGAATAGATAACGGGTATATAACAAGTTAAACAACCTCTCCAGATAATAAAACAAAAACGCAAAGAGAACTTTAGGCGTTCGATCCACGTTCGAGAAGTACGCAAATAGTTCAAGGTATATCTGAAAGCTTTGTGATAAAGAGTGTGTTTACTACAGCACTGGCTGATAGGCTACATATCAGGCAAGTTCGATTGAAGGCCATTGGTCAACTTAGTGGATATTCGTGACATAACTCACGACTGCGCACTACAAGCTCACCTGAACTGTTTGAACGGATCGCCATACTGGAACCAAAGCGAGGCTGAGTCGTCACCCACATGCAGGCCAATTCCATGGTAAGATTTGACCCGGAATCTGGGTCCATTGGGCCTGACACTGTTTCAGGTCAAATTGACGCTATTCCGGGTCTAAATGACACTTTTCTGGGTCTAAATAACTCTCATTTGACTCATTTCACGGATCACCAAATTGACCCAGGAAAGTGTCAGTTTGACCCGAGAATGTGTCATTTTGAGACAAAACCAGATCAAAATGACACTTGTCCGTGTCAAACTGACACGTAAAAAAATGGTCAAATTAACACTAGTTTAACTCATTTTCCGGGTCATTTTCACCAGAGAGAGTGTCATGGTCGTTCGGAATTGTGTCATTTTGAAAAGTGTATGGCCCAATAGGACCCGGATTCCGGGTCAATATATGACCCGGGACATTTCATAATGCAGATAATTGTGAGAACCCAGCTTGGCAGATCTACCTATTTTTTAACCCAACGTATAGGACCCAATTTAATCCTACCGTCGGGTACTCAGGTTTCACAAACAGCTGCGCCTTGTACACGTTCTTGACCCCAGGTGCCAGCGGGCAGTGGATACCGGTGGTTTTGCAGGCGTCGGTGTAGGCCGTGGGATAGGGCACAGACACTCCACCGATGATACCGTGGACCACGGTCGTGGCACTGGATGCGGTGGTGGCTCCCGCTGGTCGGAAAAAAAATTAAAATAAAATAAAAATTATATCTGTGTTCCCCTTGCTCTTCAACAAATTCGAGGTTACTTTTCAACTTGTGGGTTTTAATCCAACCTTCGGTAGTACCCCCCGCCCTGCAAACAGGGCGCTGGTAAGGGCTGATGAGCTTCACAGAATCTTGTGAAGGAAGTACAGCTTGACTTTCGCATGCAGCTAGCGCGCGCTACGCATGATGGGCACCGGAAGCTAGTTTGTGTGACGCGTTCTACGTCACAGGTCACGGAAATCTATCCAATAAGAGCTCAAATGACGTCATCCCTGACCAGCGTCCTGTTTGCAGGGTGGGGGTACGAGCGAAAATCCAACCAAAAAAATCCTCCTTTTGGGGGGGGGGGTCGTCTGCAAACCTCTGAAAAAGGCACTTATCTACCAACAATTAGATACTCAAGGCGCTAATGCATATGAATTTATTTTACAGTCAGGTCAATGAAGTATTTGAGACATGAGACCCATTTTATGTAGCACCTTACAAGGGTTTACAAGGCGCTTATTAAAAGCAGCCACTGCCAGAAACACCGTGGCAAACCCCTTCTCCTACCGATAATTGTTACGTGCATTACACAACGCACGGGACCTACATCGGCTTTACTCCCATCCGAAGGACGAAGCAATAATGGTTAAGTGTCTTGCTTAAGGACACAAGTGTCAAGACCGGGACTCGAACCCACACCCTGCTGATCCGAAACACCAGAACTTGAGTCCGGTGCTCGTAACCGCTGGGCCGTGACACTCCATGATAATTGCACGGCCCGGGAGCCACTCTGCTCTAAAAGTGTATCTGTTTGTAAAATACGTCACTGGAGGGTAAAAACCTAACATTAAATTTAGTAAAATCAACAATTACACTTGCCGGCAAAATGTTGTCAGGCGATGTTCATCGTTTTTAAATTGACATGTGCTTGGCATGCAGAGCTCTAGAAAATCGGGCCAAGATGTGTTCGGATTAATTACAATCTACAAAGCATTTAAAATTCCATTCAACATTCTATTTTCGAGTTTAGACTCCTCCCAAAAATATATTTTTTTTTTTCAAATTGCTATTTTTCTAGAAATACAAAAGTTACTAACTTTTGAATGAGACATCGGCGTATGTGTTGTTATTTAATTAATACTTTTACAAATTTCGAATTATTTACTGCCAGACATCAATTCCGTCCTATAATAATACCGGAGTCTCATAAAGCGCACTTGTTCATGCCACTAAGCCGTTATGCATGTTCAGGGGCCAATTTCATAGAGCTGCTTAAGCACAAAATTTGTTTAAGCACAAAAACGTCTTGCTGAATAAAATCAGGTTACCGGCCAAAACTCCATGCGATTGTTATGCTAAGTAAACAACAGCTAAATACCAGTCACAAGCAATGTACATCACATGGAGTTTTGGCCGGTAACCTAATTTTACCAAGCAATGTTTTTTCGTGCTTAAGCAAATTTTCTGCTTAAGCAGCTCTATGAAATTGGGCCCAGGTCGGTGCAATCGATGATGAACCCTCGGACCTATTAGATGGTACTTTGATGCGAGGTCAAATTAACTATCGTGTGATAACAGTTTCATATAGAGCCGGCTGGTGTCAGGGTTGAGTCATTATATATTTTTCTTACCTAAACTGCGGGCTTTTTTTAGTACAAGTTGACTTTTTTCATAAAAGGGAGTTTATTACTTACCGTTCAAAGTGAAGGTTATTGCTACGCTAACATTGGTTCCCCTCTTGAACTGGCAAGGGAACTTCGGACAGGGCATGATATCGACCTCACTCACGGTAGCATCTTGCGTCACGCCCTCTGTAAAGCAATATAAAAACAATAACAATAATAATAATAAAAACATTGAGAATTGCACACCATGGGTGAAGACCACTCAATAATACGGGCGATTCCCAATAGTGCGCCTCCAAGAGTTTGCAACGCGTCGGCCAATCACAATGCGCGAAATCTGTCGACCCAATGCGCGTTTGGAAAAGGTCGACTGATTTCGCGCATTGTGATTGGCCAACGCGTTGCAAACTCTTGGAGGCGCACTATTGGGAATCGCCCGTATTGAGTGCTACTCCTTAATTTTCGTGGAGATTTCTTAAACGGGTTGTTATTATTTTCAACGGTCGTGCACTGCATTTTGAGCCTGTTTGAAAAGTGTGATTCGGGATGAAATACCTCCAAGGTACACTGCAAAAACTGGAGTGTTAATTTAACACCATTTGGTATCTATATACGACCATCTGGTGTTAAATTTCACTGGTGTTGTCCTATATAGATACCAAATGGTGTTAAATTAACACTACAGTTTTTACAGTGTAAAGGGGTCGATGACAAATCGTAGCAAATTACGATGCTTGCTGTGCGATTTCAAAAAAAATCGTGGGCCTTTGCTTCGTAATTTTAGCAAAGCATTGAAGTTACGATAAGTATTTGGGTCACTTGTCTTTTGAACGTCTGTTTCATGATAGTACAGTTGAAGAAACAAGCTTAGTCCGAGTCCCATTAGAATTAAACGTAATATGTGAAATCCTTCAAAGCACCTCGAACTCTGTTGATCTAGCACCTCTAACTCTGTTGATCTAGCACAACTTCACTACGTGTCACAATGGTCCTTCGCCACGAACACTGCTGTATTATTACATACGTTCACATCGTCCATAACTACAAATTAAAAGATATTTATCGAAGTAAGTATTTATCTACTTACTGCACGGTAGGGGGTTGACCTTTTGACCACTGGAAAGATAAAAACTCAAAACTGCAGAAAGCAGAAAGAGTTTGAACATCGTTGACGACGACATGTTCCTCCGGGCAACCGATTTTGTCTCTTCCACAAAATATTTTGGGCTATTTTTTTTTGTGGCGTGTACTGCCACTGAGAGCCGACAATCAATGATGGCCAGATCACGAGACGAGTCAAGTGACGAAGGCTATTGCTAGACATTCTACCCAAGGTCCAGAGGACAACTTTGCACAAAGTTTATTTAGGACAATTATCTCTGTTTTAAGTACCAAAAGCAAACAGTAGCTCTTTTGATACTCGTAATAAATAATCTGATGTGTTCTATAAAACAGGTGATCCGCGGATAACACGTGTCGCCTTTTTATTTTTCGCGGTCGATCCCTATATGTTTTGTGTTCTTATTCTTGTAGAAGCTGTTCATTTTCAGTTAAAGAATTGATTGGCCTCTGGAATGTATTAGTTTCTATGAAACAATTGCATTTTCACAATTTTCTCCATCTCGAGTTATGACCTGAATTGAACCCTGGATGACCTTTGACATTACACCTGCAAAACAACACATCAACATCCCTAAAGCTTTATTCTCAGTAACATTAGTGAACACCTTTTCTATTATGAAACAACAGCATTTTCCATTATGAGTTATGACCTCAATTGACCCCTGGATGACCTTTGACATTACACCATTAAAACTAATCATCATCAACCCTAGACCTTTTCTAAGCAACGTTAGTGAACACTCATTCAATTCTGTCGGGAAAAAAAACACATTTTGTGATTTTCAAACGACCTCAAAATCAATGACCCCTAGATGACCTTTGAATTACAATTTCTGAAAAAAACTGTCATGAACCCCCACCCAAGGATCACTCCATCCAAGTTAGGCCTACATTAAAATCCATCAAATTCATTATACAAAGAAATATTTGAAGCATATTTGAATGACCTGTAATGACCTCTACGTGACCTTTGACCTTAGTAATCTAATGAAGAATTAGGTCATCCCACCCAAGGGTCACTGCATCCAAGTTTCATCAAATCCAAGGTTAAGTGTCCTCCAAAACATTCGTTTATATGGGACACAAAAACACAAACTTTGATATCGTTTACTAAAAGAAAGCCGGATCCGGATAAGCATGCTAAATATCCACTACCTTTTTCAATATACGGTCATCATGTTCATATCGTCCATAACTACATTGTAGTTTGTACAAAATAAAGGAACCAGTATAAGTGAGTGATATACTTACTACACGGCAGGGGTTTGACCTTTTGCCCACTGGCCAGATAAAAGCTCAAAACTGTGAAAAGCAGAAAGAGTTTGAGCATCGTGGACGACATGTTTCGCGGGACTACCAATATTTTCTTGTCCTCAATTTAAATGTGCTCATTTGTTGCAGCGTTTACTCACACTGACATGACTGAAACTGAAAGCAGACGATCAATGATAAAGATAGCCTGATCACGAGACGAGTCAGGTGACGGAAATGGTGAACTGTGGCCCCATTTCGCGCAGGAAACATTCATGTGTGTGTACGTGTGCAGCTAGCTATCACATACTATGGCGTGTCAAACGTTGCAAAATTCAATGTTTTGCAATTATAATATATTTATTTATTTATTCCATTTCTTTGCCCAGGGTATGCCCAAACAGTTTAAAACTGGTTTCCATTGGGGCCCTGCATACAATAAATAATGACTACAAACATGTATAATTATACAATACATTACAAATACAATAAAATTCAATATAGTGAGATAAAACATTATTTGAATAATGCATAGGTGTTAAGCAAATATTATAAATACAATATATTTTAAAACTATTATAACTAGATGTACAGTATGAATGCTTTACTATTAGGTTGATTCAGTGAACACGAAAAATTTGGATCTATCTTGTAACATCAAGAAAAGAAAAAAAAATTGCTGTAACTATACTCGCTGATTACGGGAGGGGCGAAAACCCCGCGAAAACCCTTTTGGGAGAAAACACGGGGAAATTCCCATCCGGCTCCTTATTATCTTCTTATTATTATGGCAACCAAGTTTGTTAACTCCGTAGATCAGCACATATCTAGATTTGTATAATCAGAGAAGACAGCGGCAAATACACAAATAATTATATAAGTTCGATTGTCAATATTTGTGTGTGATGTTTTTACTGCGATGTGTGCAATGTTTAACATTGTTATACATCGTAATGTAATTTCATTAGTCTAGAGCGCGCGAGTGGAACTGCGTATATAGTAAACGCACGCATAGCGCATACGTAAAGACCATTATCATCATGTTGCGGCCATCTTGATTTCGTTGCCATTAATATCAACGTTCGTGAGGCTGGAAGGAAAATAGTATGTTTCCTTTTTGTACCAAAAAACAAACATTATCATTCAGTACTGGATACAGAGAACATGACTAAAATAGGTGCAGCATGATAAAGGTATATAGACCATACATGTATATATAGAATAAAACAGACCAGCGGCATTAATTTTTGAGCGGTAGGCGCGTATAAGTGTAACTTGTCGCGCTTCAAGATGTAAATACGTGGGGTTTTGTGATTTTTGTAGAGATACCGAGTTGAATTAATTTCGATTTGAGTCAAATCTACGATAATAATTACTACCCAAAGTCCAGAGGATAACTTTGAACAAAGTTATTTTAGGAGACCTTTCTATAGTGCATCTCTGTTTGAAGTGGCCAAAAGCAAACAATGATCTTTTGATACTCGCAATAAATCATCTGAAAAACCAATATCTTTTCTTCCAGCTGTTCTAGTGACAAAGTCATAAGTTCAGGGTGCATCAGGCTACGAATTGTATAAAAAAATATTAGGTATAACAGCTATGATACTGTGTTCACAAGCTCAGATGTTTTTTTAATCATGTCTTTGGTGAATTTGTGTACAATCTAATGATATGATTAAAATTGTTGGTTTCTTTTACCGAGGTGAAATGTCCTAACTTTTGAATTCCTGACCAGACTGATAAACACAAGACCCGATCAATTTGCAAAAATACGCCCTCAACGGCAGCGATATTAACATTATATTCATAAATACCTAAGACAGTTTACGCATTCCTATTGGTCGAGAGCCCGTCACGTGGCCGGTCATAAACGGATGATAAAGACATGGCTAGCTGGTCTTTAACACTTTTCCAGTGTCACATGAAATTTGGACTCCCATGAAATCCGGTGCCTTTTAACGTTTCATTTCAAACTTACGTACGTATGCATGCGCAATGTACTACCAGCGAATCAGTATTTCATATGGTCCGAAATTCAAGCTACACCATCCCAGCTGCGTTTTGCGCAACATCGCGCAGTACGCGCGACGCGCACGCAAATGTCCTTATAAGGGGGCATTCCATATTATAGTCAGAGTGGTGTTTCGTAAAACATGATGTAAAATTGTTGAACAAAATGGTTGGCAACGTTTATGACATTTTTTGATTTTTAAACCAAAAAGTTTTTTTGGACCGAAAAGGTATTTATGAATGGGAACAAATATGTGATCGGTCGGTATTAAACACTCTGTTTAAGACCGGTGGGAGTCTGGTGGGTGATAATTAACCGAGGGGAAACTACAGGAAAATAAAGGAATGTCCGCAGTAGTTATATGTAAGGTAAACATGTGTGGTGGTGGGTGTGGTGCTGTTGAGGCATAAAATGCAACCGCATCACTCTCCCCGGGTTAAGAGTGGGTAATCTTGTTTACGTACATGATTCGTGTCGAAAAAAAATCCCGCCGCAAAGGCGTACAGTAATGTACCTTTCACGGGAGGAGGAGGCTGCGACGAGACTGGGAATCCCCACTTTCGCCGAGTCCACGCAATCGTTCGACGAGCTGGTAATCATGGAGCTGGCACGCCCAGATGCCGGGCGTAAGAAACACCTCATCTGCATCATCATTACGGAGATCAATGCCGCTGTCTACTGGCGAGTATTTCTGGGAGATATAGGTGAGTACGAATTTTGATATTTTACTGGACTTGGAGACCACCAGCGACGGTGTATGGAATAAATAAGCAAAGAAAGGTCTTAAATGGTGGTTGGGTAGACTTGATTGTTTAAACAATGGATAAATTGTTTTAATTATGTGTATTTTAATGTTATTTAGCAAGCGATTTGGATATTTTTTCAGACATTCTCATATATAAAAAATAACTCTGAAGGTAGATTTTCCAGGGGAAGGGAGCCTTTCATTCGAAAAAGGGTTGGCAGGCCTGAAACAATAAGCACACCTGATTTCCCTATAAAATTGGCTATTTCTTGTACTGCAAACGTAACGCTGGTTGCATTTTAACAAAAGATGGGTAAATTGCTAGAGGAGAAACGCGTCGTTGTATAGAACTAGTGGGAAAAACATGCAACGTCAACTTAATTATACCTTCTTAATTTAAGCGTAATTGACTATACATTGTAATAGTAAAACACAAACAAAAACGGTTGGGAAAGGGCTGAGCGAAGATTTCCTTTCATTTTTAACACACTGTTTATATAGAGTCAGTTAATATTGTGTATCTTATCGGTTATGCTAATTTACACCAGGTGTATACTATGGTCAAATTTCACATTAATTCCTCAAAGACTTGGACCCTGTATTTTACCATTTTACTGACCAACTCCTTTGCAACAGCAAAGGCCCTTTTTTGTGACGTTGTAAAAAACACACACTTATTAAAGATCCTTGAAATTGGGTCTATCGTACAGCGCTACCACATAAATTGATTTTGCTATTGATTCGCTTTACAATGAATTATGATAATGGACTCCATCTGTTGCTTACTGTGTGGCGTTCGAAACAAAGTAATTGGCTGCGCGTACATGTCCAGGAATGCCAGTGCTTTAAAGACATCCAACTTGTAAAATATCATTACCAGAACAATTTCATTTATAATTTAATATGGTTATTGTGTCTGGAGTGCTAAATGGTAACACATATTTTATCAACCGATAGAAACGCATAATTTTAGATGTTTTCATTGCTTTGGCTTACCATGCCGTAATGCCGCACACACGCCTTATAAGTGATTCTAAACGCTTCAAATAAATAACATCCCTTTCTTTCCTTTGTTTAATTTTCGTTGGTACATCTACTCGACCCATGTTGCTTACAAGAACAATTGACAAATTATCTCCTGTTTATTAGGTAATTATCATTCGTGGTATTTCATATTCGGTATTGCCTAAACCGGCCTGATCGATTTTTTGTTGAGAAGCCGCATTCTCTGCTTCGCGTATATTTTTTTTTAAAGATCCTTATAACTTGCATGGCCAAAATTGTCCTCTAAAAAAACATGGGGGTTAAGGCCTAATAAATTTGTTAAAACTGTTTTCCCAGGACATTTTCTGTGATAATAATTTTCGTTGCTTATGAATTCTCATCGGTTGTCCTCTAACATTGTTCTCACCCCATGATATATGTCTCCCTTTCCGGGTTATTTGTTTTCTCAAAGACAAAAGGCTGAGTTGATCCGGAACAAGACATGGAGCCCATGGTGACAAACCAACCCAACCAGTCCAAGCTGGAGCCGATTGGGGGCACTGATAACCCTCTGCATGTGCCAATGCAGCCCATACCATCACCGCATTCCGTGGTCCCCAATCAACCAATGCAGCCCATACCATCGCCGTATTCCGTGGTCCCCAATCAACCAATGCAGCCCATACCATCACCGTATTCCGTGGTCACCAATCAACCAACTACGACTACTACCATCATACAAGTACGAACGAATGTTGCATAAAATAATCCAATCTGATTTTTAAAGATGTTCCACTATAGACGGCCTTTCAAAAAGGTTATTGGTCCCGAACGTTTTTCAAAGAAGAAGAAGAAAACCAGTGATATACAGGGTAGCCAAAATAAAACCGAACGGCATACCTCCACCACCTTGAGACACAAACCACCTGTACGAATCGATGACGAACTCTTTTAAAAGAATTATGACAGCAAAATATCCAAATTCGGTCAAGTAATTTTTGCTGCAGAGCCTATTTTGTGAAGCACACTTTCATCAAAAAAATCATCTGCAACCAATCAACAAAATCTACATATCTATGAATATTCTAAACAGTTTTTCTTTCCTTGATTTCCATTACAGTTGGCACAGGGGAATTTCCGGTACCCTAGAGGCGCACCACGTGACTGGTCTACCCCCCTCTGCGGCTGCTGTGAAAGCTGCTGTGGATGTATGTTACCCTTTTTTACTTCAACCATGTTTCGCCCCATATGCATCTAGCGGTGTTGGTTTTCATGCCAAAATGTCGGAGATCTCTCTCTGAGTCTCTCTGAACTTATCTCTTTTACAAATGACATTCATGTTAGTATAAGTGTATTGCCAAAGAAATGTCTCTGTCAACGTCGTGACGTCACTCGGAAGTCAATGGTTATATCGGTTCACGCGAATTGTGATCTGGTTCCCTGTCCCCATTGTCATTCGGACTTCCAATATGGGGATCGACAGGTAGCTAGCGGTAAATCTTCCATACACCAGGCGGCATCCCGGAATGTTTCATAACTTAAATTGCATTGACCCAATGAGTAGAGGTAATAATATAATGATGTAGAGCATTGACTATAGCACAATAATGGCGGATACCTGCATTAAAACACCCCATTATTAATTTGCAGGTCTTTGTGCCTGCTTTTGTTTCCCATGCTACGAGTGTTACGTGGCGTCCAAGATGGGTGAGTCTTGCTGCACGCCTTGCTGCCTGGCTAACGCCACTGTGGTCATGAGGGCCTACGTACGAGGACGTCACAATATTCAGGTAAAAGAGTGTGCTATATTTGAACCAATGAGGGCGCTATATAGAATGGCGCCATTTTTGCGTGTGTGTACAAACATGTTAAATGTCTCAGTGAGCAATAAAAGAAGCTTCACGTCAACCTAAAAACAAAGATTCTTTGCATTTATTCAATGTCATTTGAGATCACTTCTATTTGTAACCCAAAGCTGATGATAAACAGCGCCCGGCTGGCGCTGATCTTTTTTTGGTAATAACTTAAATTTGTAAATCGTTTAACGCAACGACCACTGCTCAGCCACATGATCTAGCGACGCAATCAAATCATTGAAAGACAATGGAAGACATCCTCCATTCATTATGCATTAACACATTTCACCAGCCTGTCTGAACCAAACGAAAAGGTGTCCACAAAGAAACACGTGTATCTGTCTGTGTGTTTAAGGGTATACTTTCAGTTTTTAAAACTAGGTGAAAGATATATTTTTTTTTACCCAGGGTTCCCTGGCTGGCGATGGCTGTACCACGTGTTGTTGCCCCATGTGCGTTCTCTGCCAGATTTCTCGCGAGGTCGACAACATCCGGGAAGGTCGTGCCGCACCATAGGACGCACCCAAAACACAGGCATCATACAAACCAAGGACGTGCGACCACAACCATTATAGGAAGCCATGTTCGATCGTGTTCCCTGAATTTATTACATGAATTGTAAATTGTTGAATGGGATGGTGCCAGACTGTTTTGTGATTGGAGTGAGTCCTTAGCCTCACTTTCATTTTTTTTTCAAATGTATAGGTTGAACCATTAATTTTAAATATGTTTAAGTACAGAGTTTTTAATTATTCAACAGAATAGATTGGTAATGATTTGTGGTGAACTTTAATTCAATGCTTTCATTTCTACGCACAAGTTTCAAAAACGAAGATTGTACCTCGCTTTCAATTCCACATTGCTCGCCTTTAATTTGAAAGTGCCAAAAGACTGTAACACGTCCCCCTAATACATAAAACCACGCCCCTACTGCTTCGCCAGTGACGATCGTAACCTCAAGACTACTATACAGCTTAAAGTAAATTCACTGTTAGTACACATTTATGTTTTTGGCGTAAAATCCCAACTTTTGTTTTAATCTTTGTGATTTTACATATGATGATCACCTAGTTTTTGTTGATTTTTTTCCCCAAACAAACAGTGTAGGATTGTATAGACACTCCCTTGTACATAGTTTCGGCTTCTTTAGTGTACCAACAACTTTTAAATCATCACATATTTATTTCTTCATGGCTACAACTTGTTTTACACTATCTGTATTATTTCTTTACTTTTTCCTAGTCTGTATATATAGGCATAAGAATTACTCTACTAATTATAAGGATAAGGAGTACATGCACAATCAAAAATTTTCAAAACTTACTTCGTGGTTTTGTAGTTATTAAAACAAATTGCTTGACGGACACTTTTTTTTTAAATATACCTGTATAAATGCGAATCTTGACTATACCAGCTTACTACCAATCTTTTGCCTTGTTTATTTTGATGAACGTACCTCAGCAAATCTAGGTGCCTAAAGACTTATTCAAAGTTATACAAATAGTTCGCTAAATTTGATGTCAATATTGAAGTTCTTAAATTAAAACCCCTCTTGGAAAATCAAAACACTTCAACATTGACTCGGCCACCACAGAATGTTGATGTTCCGATTTTACACCGCGAAAAACCAAATCTCGTTGTGACGTTCCAGAATAGTGAAGGGACTGTCGTAGCCGGCCGTGTAGTAGAAGCTGCTATCATACGATTGGGTAGCGTTCAGAGCATTAGCTAGGGCTTCGGCTTCCGACAGGAACTTGGCTTCGTTCGAGAAACCTGGGTAAGACCTGTTAAAAAAAAAGAGTTTTGGATTTTAGAAACTTGAAACAGAATTCGAAAAGTATATAGGAAATAAAATTAAATGAAATGTTTCTGTTCATAGACACCAGTGCTAAAATGACCATACTTCAAAATTCTTTTTAAAATACTCAGAACTCTCACAGGTGTTTGAGCTGCACAGAAAAATGATGATCAACATGTCATCTCTAATTCTTGGTGGGTTGACCATTGACTTGTTGAGAAATTTTCAGTCGCCAAAAGAAGACGTCCCTATTTTTCTCGAAGCGGAAAAGTAGCCATCTTGAAAAACTATCCCTCCCACAACACGGCAAAATGCAGCACCACTGTCGAGCCCAATTGCACCCAAAATACTCAGAATTGGAAGCCCCCAAGTAAAGTCCGGGCCCGCCAGAGGTTCATTGCCATATCTCTTCAATTCCCCAATTGTATGGCTCTCAGATAAACTCCCTGAAATATAGAATACTCTGAGGGACGGTGTAACTTTTATACATGAGCTCGGCGGATGGGATTATGGCATATAGGTGTGCACCCACTGACTACCCAAAAAAAATGCTCACACAGCGGCGATAAAGTTAGCAGACCTGTTACCATTATGTGTTACAAAATGATTGAAATATTGTGTACTTTACCTGACGTAAGCTTGGTGGGCTGGAATGGTCGACAGGAACACTGTCTTATCCATGGGCTGGGGCGCGTTCGGCTGCAACTCGAAGGGAACCATGAAGGACACAGTGAAGTTATCGGCGCAGTCTGGCCCCTGACCAGGGATAACTCGGTCGATCACAGGGGCGGTCATTGCTATCTTCTTATCTGAGGAAGAATATTTAAATAAGGGATTAAAAGGTATACATGCAACATCTCCCAGGAATAACAACATACCGTTGGGAATTACGTGTACTCTATAGGCTATAGATTTCCTCTGAACTACTTAATTCCATATTTTGCGTATCTGACGATTTAGAGTGGAAATCATTCCAATGAATTTCACTCTTTGAAGTAGATTTTCACAAAGAGGACTTTAATTATCATGGTCATATCAAGTGCGAGTGTTCCTACATTAGTAAATCAATAAGCATGCCTCATTTTTTTGCATAGACCAAACAGTGTGACGCCCAACGTTGTGTCATATTTCAAGAAAATTACCCAACCAAATCTTGGAAACTGACGGTGGTGGGATCATGGTATGATATGGACTTACTCTCTGAGTTGTGTCCGCTGATGTACGAGAAGAGCTTATCAAAACCCTCCTGCGATGCCTTGTCGTAGTGAACGCCTATGATGGTGGTGCTGACCCACATCGACAATGGGTAGCTTCGCTTCTCATAATCCTGAAAAAATAATAAACCAAGCCAATAAAACGACCATTTGGCAATTAAAGGTACATCAGAAAACGAAGTTAATCCACTGTTATATCATAATTATAAAATCGTACCAAGGTACTTCCGAATCATCAGTTTTATCTGACTTGTTTTTATTAAGATAAATCTGATCGGATTATGGTACATACATTGCACATTAAGGTCTTAAAAGCGTTTCCCGATCATAACAGGCCGCGAGATAACATTCAGCAGCAGCTCGAGGCCAGGGCCACTGGTCTCTGTCCCAATAGAAATGGTACCCACTTATTGTGGACGCTGCAGAGGCCATTGTAATTATTGCAGAAAAGTGTCTTGCCTAAGAACACAAGAACCTTTTTATTGTTCCCTTCGGGGTTCGAACCATACATCACACGTCGTCACCGACACCACGAAGTAACACATCTAAGTGTTACTACGTGAAAACCGCTAGGCCTAAACTGGCAAGTTTTGGTTTCACTGAGTAACACTCAAGTGTGCGCGCACATCGGACACCGGCGCGAACGAGTTTCGTTTTCACAAATTAAGTAACAACACTTTTTCACAAAACTATTTGGGTGAAAACGTTTTAAAACGTTCGGTAGGAATGTGATTAATCCGTGTTCTTGTAGTATGGCAGAAAAAAAGAAAGAAAAAGCCTTCAAACTGGTGTAATAAAGATGAGTGTTACTTCGTGAAAACGAAAATTACCGATTAAGTGCACAGTGTGCATGAGTGTTACTTCGTGAAAACGAAAATCACTCGTCTCTGTAAAACTACGCGTGCGTGGTGGGAACTCAGTCGAGTCCACTTGTCATGAGTGCTACTGAATTCGTTGTGTCGATGACGACGTGAGTCGAACACTGTGAATACCATATTGGACCACGAACGACGTTCCACGTACTGTTCGGCACACCGTATTACTTTTTTGGTGTTTGCTCAGAATACTAGTGTTGAACCTAAAGTGAGGTCGCACTAACAAACTATTTTGTGTACGTTAAGAACACAATATATAGATTACAATTGTAATAGGAATGTAATCAGCGGCTATTGTGCAAGTTAAGCCGATGCATTGCCCTACAGCATCTCATCCACACACAATCAAGAATATATGGAAATTATGGCCCAGTAATTCATTGGAAAAGCATTTATGGTGCACTACATGAATTTATAGGAATAATGTCACCTATAGTCGAAAGGCGTGAGGTAGTGAAGGGCATAATTTATGATCATATTGACACTATCTTGAAACCAGTGCGAGAACTGTAAATACTGCAATCAATCTCGATGTCCCTACGGACAAACAGTGTATAATCAAAACATGTTTATTCAGAGTGATGCATAATGATAGCATGATTCATGACCTTGCGATAACAATCCTCGTGACAGTATCACGTGCTGTCACCGTCACGTGTTGTTACGTCACGTGTACAGCTGCCATGCACAACGGACAGGACTTTTTGTTTACGAAACGGATCAAAATAACCTTCGAAAACTTTAAGAAATCCATCTCTTTTCGTCGTTTTGATTTTACATTTCGTATAATAGTCCACAAACAAAAAGCGCTATATCAGTACCGCTGTTTTTCCCTTATAAATTATAATTTATAAGGGAAAAACAGCGGTACTGATATAGCGCTTTTTGTTTGTATCTCTGTCGAAAAGGTATATGCGATTGTTGTTACGGTTGAAAGCATGGTAACCAAATGGTAGATGCGCAATGGGGAAATGGGGGGGGGGGGAGATGAAAACAACCGTTAGCAAGTTGTATTGTTTATATGCGTTCTCTAGTTACACCACATTCAATCATGCGTGTTGCAAAGAAAATACCTGGCTAAGTAGAAAAAATACTGCTGAGCAGAACTGAGGGTTACCAGCCAAAACGTCTTGCGGCGCTCATTTCTTACGACTGCAGCTAGTTCCCGGCTCTGCTGAAGTTTGTTTCGCACATAACTTGCAAAGCAGTATCCCGAGTTAAGTAAATCACCTTATTATAATGACTTGAAGCTTTGCATTGCGGATGAGATAAAGTAGAAAGATTGCGGGTAAACACCGTGTGGAAAGTAATCTGTTCTTAATTGGAAGAAGTGTACGTGGTTCTTAAAAGAACCAGTTGATTGAGTCTGGAACTCTAAGAACCGGTTGCTAAACGATTTTGACAGTGTGCTCTGTCCAGCATCATGCACATCCCATCACTCATCTTCCTGATGAGGACGGACAGAGCACACTATCCAAAACATCGAGTTCTCCCAACCGATTCTTTTCAGAACCACAGTTCTTCCAAGAAGAGATTACTTTCCACTTGGTGTTCTTTCTACTTTAAAATCACCTATTGCCTTGAGCCCTAAATTGATCCGTACCATAATTCAAAAAAAAATAATGAAAGAAGAGGTTTTTTAAAAAAGATTTCGGATTTTTTTTCCAGTGTAAACCTCTGACTTTGATGTTTTTAGACATATTTTAGACATACCTTTGTTTGGTAGTCCATCGTGTATTTTGGGCACTCGAGGTGTCGGCAGAACTCCGGCTCCTTGGCCACGTGTCTGGCCACACACGCACCGGCCAGAACAGCTAGCAGAACAATTTCCTTCAGCACACCCATGGCTTTTTTCGTCTAGGGCAAACTGTCGGGAAATAAAAAGACACATTGATGATCGGTGTCGTTCACTGAAAAGGTTAATTGCTTCAAGAGATAAACTTCAATGGCAATAGCCTCCCGACTTAGGCCTAACCAAACCCAATTAGTATAATGTTTGCCAGCGCACACAAACAAAACAGGGTCTACCCCGATGTTCCCCACTTTTATACCGATGTTCCCCGAAATCTTTAGGGTTAGGGTTAGGGTCTGGGTTGGGAAACATCAGTATTGGGAAACGTAGGTATGCACCCAACAAAACCGCTTAAAAACAATCACATCAAGTGTGATCATGATATATCACGGCAAGCCACCCGGTCATGATTTTCGTCAGGCCCGTTCCCACTCCAAACCCTTTGTTAGGATTAAGATTCCCTCAAATGATAGAATTGGCCCACCGTACCTTACAATGGCAAACCTTTCAAGTAAATACAGCAATTAGTTCAAAAGTTAACCATGTTTCGCAACTTTTCATATCATAAACGTCTTCAGTTAAGAATTTTTTTTCAACAAACAAGCTTTTAGTACTAGCCAAACAGGCGAATTTAATCTCTTTTATATGAAACTCACCTTCACCGTATATACGTAGTTGCTGTTAAACTGACGAACCACTGACGACAAATGTTACACAAGTAAAGAACGGCTCGGTGTTTTATATGTGAACGAGATTATATAATACCAAGTCATAATCTCAATCTCCGACATTACAAAACCAAGGCAAACAAACCTCGGCCTCACGTGTTCAAACATGTGGGGTCAACTTGGTAGGCTTGCATGATCGGTTTAATTGTTGGGGGGGAGGGAGGATATGACGGCGATTTAGTGGCTGTCCCTCCTCGGCTGCCTAAGCTGAATAATCCCCTCTCCCCCGCCTACTGGCAAACCATCCGACCTGCCCCCTCATTATTCGCCCAACTTGCCCGTTTTCCGCAATCAACGGCGCCCTCAGGTGTCATGATACCCCCTGCCTTAAATTCTGGTGCTACACGGTCCAAGGCCATTCTCTGGATCCGACCAAGATGCATATACAAATATATTTTTAAATGAGCAAATGTAAAAATATATAAAATAATACGTGAGTATATAGCTTTGACAGGTGTTTGCAAAATGAATCATTTGCCTTTTGGAAGCGTACTTTCTTCAGCTTTTTTTCGTCGCCAGGAAGCAAAACCGGCCGGTGCGAAATAGATCTGAAAGTCCATACATTTCCACCCATGGAGGAAGGAAATCCACCCATGAATAATTAATGGAAGAAATGAAGATTCAACTTTATTTTGACAGAAATGTAAATTATTGTAATAATAACTGTAGAAAGTTGGAAATGCTGTGCAAAAAAATTCAGGCGCCGGAGCGTTTATAGCTCCATGATAGGGTCGGTCTAACAAATAATTAATAGCGCCCTCTGTCGTCTAATATTCCAATATTGTGCTCAGCAATATATATCGAAATGCTAGAAAGGACAAACTAAAAGTTTGGTGGGCGGAGCTACGGTGCTTGTCGGCAGATATGCGGCCGCAGTAGTTGTGTGGTTGTGTGTAGATTTATCATTTTTTTCGAAATTGGAACGTCAGTTTGAGCAAACAAAATAGCACTAAAATGAAAACAATGAATGGCAACACAGGACCGTTATTCAGATACAATTATTGTCCCTTTTGGAGGGATGTCTTGCACGTATTTTAATATTGTTTACTTTTGAATTGTTTTCTTTTCTTTGGATTGTAGTGAGAAATACAAATTCCATCCAAAATTTTTTTTGGATTAATCGTTGTTTATATGATATGAATCATGAATTTCATGTGGATTTATTTCATGAAAAAAGGAACAATATAATTAAAGCACCCCACGAGGATGTTTATGCTCCGCCCATGCAACCCTGTAGTCCATGTGTTTAAAATTTTCAAAAAGCAAACGCGCAATAAACGTGTGAACTGCTATGAATCGCATCGTCGATGCGCGTTAAAATTTCAGCTTATTTGTACACTTTTACGTCAAAGATAAATGAAACAAGTTCAGAATTTGTGACGAATAGGTGAAGTATGATACGTAGCTTCCTGGTTTAACAGTTTTGGAAGAATTAACGGGCCTAGTGTTGACGAACTTCGTGTCACGAGAGGCCACCAACTGACGAACAATTCACCATGCCGGTCGAGGTCATTCCGACCGTGACTGACGAAGAAATCCCGGGTAATCGGCAGGTCGATGAGGCGGCATCTCCGGGGGCCAGTAAGCCCATGGTGGGAATCATTTATCCCCCACCGGAAGTCAGAAGTATCCTTGTCAAATGTGTGCCAATTTGAGCATATTTACGTTCGTTATTAATATGATTCTAGTCCGAGTAACTTGGACCCAACTTCTAGTAATTTGGAAGCCTTTTTGGGTAATCCTTACTTTTAGGACACCTCTATTTTTTTACGAGTTCTGTTCAAAACTGACTTTTGCAGATGACTGTCCAGTACCAAAGTGACTTTTGCAGGCTAAAGCAGTCTTTTTTCTTCATATAAACTCATGTTAGTTGTAATTTTGAAAGTACTTTCAAAGAAAATGTGACTTTCCTACTTTTTTTCGCAGTCAGATGTGCATGTTGTAGTTCTCACGAATGTCGGACACTTCGCCCCATTTCCACGTCGCCCCATGTCACTTCGCCCCTAACCACTTCGCCCCATCCCCACTTCGCCCCATCCCCACATCGCCTACTCCTAGAACTATGAGGCTCCACGTAGTGGAGCCTCATAGGTTCAGAAGCCCGCAAAATTGTTGTCAGCACAAAACACTAATTAAGTACAAAAACGTCCATCCCAAGCAGGCCGTTTTCCACAGAACCGCTGCACAGTTTGCCCCTAAACTCCATACAATACCTCATGACATACTCACGTTATGTGCACCCAACAAACATCGGTGGATTCTGTCTGTTTTTCGGCAAAAATGATGAAAAATATGCCCTTTCCGCACTGAGCCAACCTAACACTTGAAACGAGCACGCGTGCAGAATGATCGCAGTCATTTTCGGTTCGATCGCTCGGAGCGCGCCGCGGGGGGTATGGTGTAGAGCGGAACGATAGTATGCACATGCGTACAAGTGCAAGTACGTACCCCCCGCGGCGCGCTCCGAGCGATCGAACCGAAAATGACTGCGATCATTCTGCACGCGTGCTCGTTTCAAGTGTTAGGTTGGCTCAGTGCGGAAAGGGCATATTTTCCATCATTTTTGCCGAAAAACAGACAGAATTCACCGATGTTTGTTGGGTGCACATAACGTGAGTATGTCATGAGGTATTGTATGGAGTTTAGGGGCAAACTGTGCAGCGGTTCTGTGGAAAACGGCCTGCTTGGGATGGACGTTTTTGTACTTAATTAGTGTTTTGTGCTGACAACAATTTTGCGGGCTTCTGAACCTATGAGGCTCCACTACGTGGAGCCTCATAGTTCTAGGAGTACACATCGCCCCATCCCCACTTCGCCCCATCCCCACTTCGCCCCATCCCCACTTCGCCCCATCCCCACTTCGCCCCATCCCCACTTCGCCCCAGCCGTTACATGTAAAAAAAAAAAATCTCATCTATTTTTTTGGCTTAAAAAAACACTATTTCAATAGATTCACTAATTGCTAACCAACGGAAAGAATTAGCCCATCACCAAATGAACAATTCATAACCAACCTCTCAAGCTAGGCTCTCCCCTACCGAGAAAAAAGCTTGAAGTAAAAGATCCAACTTTGTTCCCAACCCGGCTATACCAACCCGTCTCCCACTTATCTGAGAACGACAATACCTTTGACATCCTAATTTCACTCTTGGAGGAACCAATCTCATCAATGAAGTTGTAAGTCTCACATATCAGACAAATTTTGACGGAACATTTTCCTCAAGGCAGTGAGTTCCTTTGAACTCACTGACCCATACCTACGGGATTCTTTTGAATCCAGCGGCTGATGATTTTATTTAAGCCATCATTTCTCTCATCTGTGTCTCGAGCACCTCATCAGAGAGTTTGTATTTTTCCTGAGTTTCTAGAATTGGGAGCATTTAATATCTGGGGTCTTTGGCAGTTTATTTGGTCTGCACCCCTAGCCTTCCCTTTTTTATACTACATGGGGCGAAGTGGGGATGGGGCGAAGTGGGGATGGGGCGAAGCGGGGATGGGGCGAAGTGGGGATGGGGCGAAGCGGAGATGGGGCGATGTGGGGATGGGGCGAAGTGGGGATGGGGCGAAGTGGTTAGGGGCGAAGTGACATGGGGCGACGTGGAAATGGGGCGAAGCGTCCGACACCCGTTCTCACAACACGAGTGAAAGCCTTACATAATGAGAGCCCGATGCTCATTGGCTGCTAAAAAAAAAAAATAAGATGTTTATTTTTTATCAGCCAATCAGCATCGAGCTTTCATCGCCCTCTTTCCACAAAATTAAACCTGCTGATATTCAAGAAGGTGTCATTGCCAATTGTTCAGATGTGCCAAGAAATATCAGAATGTCAATTTTGAGTGTCATTTATCAATTGTTTTGGTGAGTCTTTCCCTTCCTATATAGGAACGGGGTCCTAAAAGTAAGGATTACCCCTTTTTGAGGGTGAAATCTGATGTTTTTGTTGGCAGTCGGGCAATATTGGGTTTTTGGGTCAATGACAAAATGGTGTTGCTCTGCATATAAGGATTAGCTGGGACCCCACTATCGCCAGACCATGTCCGAATGTTAAAAGGCGATAAGTTGGGCCCAAGTTACTCGGACTATTCATGGTCATGTTTATAAATTAAACATTTTTTCACGTTAAAATTTAGTTTAATAACACAAATAGTTGTTCACCATTCATCGTGTTAATGATCTTGTTCATGTCATGTAATTTAGGCCTATGCCTAAAATTTTAGTGTTTTTTGTATGGTCATCATTTTTCAGTCTATTTTATTTTATTGTCTTTTTTTAACAGTAGACCTAGACCTGTACAAAGTCTTGTGTGGTTGGAATTTCTTAGTTTTTTTTCTTCTAAATTCCCAATCAGAGATACCTGTCACTCAGCAGTTTTTTTTTTTAAAACATGTTTGCGATAACCAATGGACCATTAATGATGGAGATTATTATGTGAAGTGATGTTACAAATGTTGAGATCTACAATGTGTATCATATTACAGTTTTCCTGACCAGCGATAAACAGACATCGTGGACAAGACAGCCGGCTTTGTTGCCAGAAATGGTGAGAATTGAAAACTAACTGGCATTGGACACATTAACCCTAACCCCTTAGTCCAAAACCTTAACCCTAACGCCCTGAATCCTCCAAAATCCTTTTTGCAAATTGGAGGAATTTGCAGGATTGAGGCTACATGGCAAAAGCGCGTTGCTGATTTCGGAGTCTGCACTGTGTCAAGGTCTTGGGCCGGACCTTGTGTTGTTTATGGTCAGCCGTGCATAAATTTAGTCCTTGATTATACTTGACATCCTCCGCACTGCTCCAGGATGTCACTGCCTCTGCCTCAGCCTATTGACAGTCACAGCCGGAGGATTTTGCAGGATTCAGGCAGTGGTCACCCCTCCATGGACCATATTCAAGAAATAACGGAGGAATTTGCATTATTGAGGCTATATGCTATTTTTCCATGAGGCCAATTGAAGGATTTTGCAGGATTGAGGCTACATCCTAGCAAAAAGGCCTAGGGAGTTAGGGTTAAAGAAACTCTTGAAGGTGAGAGTCAATATTGTAATCATTTTTGTTTCCTGTCTTTTTTCAGGGCCGGAATTTGAGCACAGAATCAGGCAGAACGAGATCAACAACGCCAAGTTTAACTTCCTGAACCATGGCGATCCCTACCATGCCTACTTCAGGCACAAAGTCCAAGAGTTCCTTGAGGGCAAGGCCCAGGAACCGACCAATGCTCCTTCTATGCCCAAGGTGAGTGGGTAAAAGTGGACTTTTTGTGTTGTGACAACACTTCCTTACTTTAACCCTAACTCCCTAGCGTCTTTAACAAGGAACTGGACCAAGTCCATCAAAATCCATCAATCACTGTGCGTCCAATACAAAACTGTACATGACATAATGGAATCCACCACTGACGCGCTGGTTGACATTCATGGACTTGCTACACATGGCTTTTATCAAAATAGCAGTACAGAAAGCCAGGCAAAATCAATCGGATACCCCTAGCACTGCTTCAGGCATTAGGCCCAAGTCTATCATACTCCATCAATATTTAGTCACGCCAGGCCTCCTGGACCAAATCCTCCCAAAATCCAGTACAAAAATCCACAAAAATTAATTTTCTGTATAAAGATAATGACTTTTAATAGTGTCATTGCAGTACTCATTTGTTTGTTTTTATAATGTGAATTTTTTACATTTCGTTCACAGCTTACATCCCTCCTTCAACCCAAAGCAACACCCCAAGCGACAGAGACCCTCGTCCTCAAAGAGCCTCCCCCTGAGCCGGAATTTGTTGCCGACCCTCCGACCATCAATGCTTTTGAGCTGTGAGTACTTTTATCGGATATGCCCCTGTGTTTAGGGGCATTTTGCAGTCAGAAAAGTCAGACTTTCGAGGCGCTTTTTCAGCACACACAAAATTGGCAGAATTTTGGATATTTGGCTGTCGTACATTTTCTTTTCTTTGGCGATTTGTTGTGTTTTAGTACATGGCAGCATTAAGCCAATGAGCAAACTCTCTCACAAGTATTTTCAATGAGCAAATTTTTGGGTTCACAATCTGAACCGGAAAACCCTAAACTCAACAGTGTCTTCCTGAAATGACATCACGGCAACAGCGCCCTCAGTTGTCTGATAAACCATGGATTTTTTTTTTTAAAGGTTTAAGAAAGTGCTTGTTTTTAATAAAAATTTACCAAAAAGGGATGTGAAACTTTATTTCATACATTTAACAGGAGTAGAAAGTTGCGCAAAATGTGTTCCTAAGAAAAAGTCGGGAAAGAATGCTGCAACCTGACCCCACTTCAGCGGTCGTGTACATAGTCTATGGAGAGTCAAGAAAGTTTTCTAAGTATTTTCTAACAAAATTGAAAATGTTTCTCAAACCCAGATTCATGTCTTATTTTTTTTGCAATGACTGACCTTCATTGAAATAATATATGACGAAAAAAGCAGCATCAGGTTGCAACTTTCTTTCCAAAATTCACTTCATGGGCCCTTTAAAAAATGTTTTTGTAATGACTGAGGTTCATCGGCTGTACATTCCTCTGCCCAGGGATATCGTCAAGCTGACAGCCCAGTTTGTGGCCCGCAACGGTCGCCAGTTCCTGACGAGCCTGATGAACCGAGAGCAGAGGAACTACCACTTCGATTTCCTGCGGCCACAGCACAGCATGTTCACCTACTTCACCAAGCTGGTCGAGCAGTACACTAAGGTAAAATAAGGCTTGAATACTCAATTCCAAAGAAATACAGGGTGAGTAAAAAAAAGTTCTGCATATGGCACTTTCAAAATCTAGGATATGAAAGCCCAATTCATAAGCTTTCTTTTAGTACAAGAATCATTCAAATCACTCATGTACTTTTCAAGTTGTGAATCGCCCGAATTGGTCTTGGTAAGCCCTGCTTTTGTCCTGGGAAAAGTCCTGAAATTTCAGTTCTCAAGATGTTTGCGGGAGCCCTGAACTAAAGTTTGGATTGATGTCGTCTTTGTTTCTCAGATCCTGATTCCTCCCAAGGATCTGCAGGGCAAGCTGCGTCAGGAGGCAGAGCAGCCCAAGCGGGTCATGGAGCAGGTCAACTACCGAGTGCAGTGGGCCAAGCACCAAGAGGCGCAACGCAAGAAGGAAGAAGAGGAGAGAGAGAAAGAACGAGGTGAGCTTGACTGCCCCCCCCCCCCAAAAAAAAAAACAGTGCTAAAATCATTTGCTTAGGCGAGCCATAAGATAACAGACCGTTCGGGTACCGGGTCCGGTATGCTAATTTCTTTCACCCCAATCGGTACGAAGCCAGAAGCCACCCGGTCACTGAAGCGTGACGCCCCAATCGGTCCAAACTGGTGACTCAGGGTTTCACAATAGGCAACATAAATTGAAGTCTGGCCATTGTTGGAGGATTATTCGGCCCACTGGGATTACCAGCAGCAACTTCTATGAAGCTCATCACAGTCATTGTTGCCTACTGCAGGATTAGCGCGTCGCAAATTGGTTCCTTTGTGATGAGCCAGAGCCATAGCCATGGTGCAGAAGCCTGGTGGAGTTAATCCAGGCCGATCGGTTCCATGCAAGGTCCCAATCCCTTCAACATACTGGGCGGGCTCAACCCCGAACGGTCTGGGGAGGGATTGTAATTTGAGTGCTCGCCTTATCAGAGCATATTCTGGGGGCTAGACGTTGGTGTGGTTTGATACACAATAACACGCCGCTGTGATAACCTGCCGCCGCGAAAGGGCGCTATCACAACTAACCAACCTCACCAACGAACCCGTCAGAACAACGTCTTTTCCAATTCATACTGGTTGTGTAATGCCCCCGCACCTGATTGGCCTAATATATGCAGCGCGCATTCCAAAAAATTCATAGTAGTTTCGAAGCAGACTCTCAAATTTCTCCCAGTAATATGAAAGATGCAGCAAGAGGTTTGTCCAACTTCACTGATCAGCTCTTTCGTTGTGTCTAAAAATGAACAGTAATTGCCTGCAGAAGTCACGCATGCGCCCTAGTTTCCCCCATTTTCGGGGGGGGGGGGGGATTTAAGGAGTTGGCCTAGATGTTCCGACAGGTTTGTGGGTGATACTGATCGGTCGTGATTGCGCCCTCTCGCAGCGACAGGTTATAGTGTATCAAGCCGTAACAACGTCTAGCCCCTAGACTAATAAGAGCATCACCAGAGTGTACAGTTAAACATGGGTCTCCTGACGATGACTAGAGCAGGCTAGTCGAAACGTTGAGACCAAAAGACAAGTTCTTATAGAACTTACAGCAGGACTGTTCTTAACAGAACAAAAACTACTTAGCAAAGTTGATAATAAGCAGGACAAGTTCTTCTCAGAACTAATATCTTCTAAGCAGTAGTTATTACCACATGGTGTTACCGCAAACCGAAACGATACCGATACCCCACCATGCAAAGCCTCAAATCTTATATAAACATGGGTCATTCTCTAGAATTGAACATTAAAGTGATTTGGTAATTGCAATAGAGCGACATTGGAATTGGGCCTCATGTGTGAGTTTTATGTTTTCTTTCTTGTATTGACAGTTGCCTATGCCCAGATTGATTGGCATGGCTTTGTGGTGGTCGAGACGGTAGACTTCCAGCCCGGCGAGCAAGGCAACTTCCCCCCTCCCCTCCGACCTGAAGACATCGGCAAACGCATCTTGGCTGAGAAACGATACGAACAGTTTGGGGTAAGCTCACCATTTTCCTCTTAACCCTAACTCCCTACTGTCTTTTACTAAAGTACTGGACCAAGTCCGCCAAAATCCTTCAATCACACTGCTTCGCTTTGCTTTAGGCCTCCAGGCCCAAGTCCATCATACTCCATCAATATTTAGTCACACCAGGCCTGCAGGGCCAAGCCCCCCAAAATCCACCAAAATGGGAGGATGGATTTTGATGGAGTAAGGGAGGTTAGGGAAGTATACTCATCTTTGTCTGACTCCTTAATGTTGTCAAATGTGGAATGACTTCAAAAAGTAGGGTTCCCTGGATCTTTTTGTGGGAATGTGGCATAGTGTTTAGGGTTTGTGAGTCATGATCAGAGGGTCAGGGGTTCAAATCCAGCTGCTGGTCATATGTTGTGTCCTTGGGCAAGCCACTTCATCCCCACTTACCCCTCTACACCCAGGAGTATAAATGGGTACCGGCATTAGCTGGGGAGTAACCTGCGATAGACAAGCATCCCATCCAGGGGGGAATAGACATATTTGTAGTCATTTCATGCCACAAAAACTGTCCGGAGATGAACGCTGGCCTGATGAGCTACATTGGCTCAAAACTGATTTTACTTTTTTACTAAAACTTTTCTTTCTGATAAGACTGTTACACCTCATGATTATTGAAATTTACATAAATATGAAATCCCAAAGTGCTGAAACATAGACCAGAATACATAGACCAGACTAAAAACAATCGAGACTCTTCAACAATTCTGTTAAACATTTTGGTGCAATTTCTTGCTTAAATATCCTCCATTTTCAGGAGTTGGAAGAAGAAGAAGACGTTGAGATGGAGGTTGCGAGCGACGAGGACGAAGATGAGGCCAAGGATGCTGGCAAGAAGAAGAAAGAGGCTCCGCCCAAAGAGAAAGAGAAGGCGGGGCCCTCTGCGACCACACCCGCGGATCAGAACACCGAGGTTCAAGATATGGATGAAGGGGTAAAGACGTACTGTGTCATTCAAACGAGCGAAACATTGCACATGTTATAGCTCTTGCCAAAAAAACAGCGCAGATAGTTGAGCATTTACTAACAAGCACCCCACATGGTTTTTAACAGGATTCAGACATGGAGGAGAGTGACGATGAAGAGGAAGGTCGCCGCATACCGATGTCTCCTCCGCCTCTCCCCACCGCAGGGGGTGCAGATGCCTCTCTCTTACCACCGCCCCTGCCTCCACTTGGGGATGTGCAAATCAGAAAGAACTATGATCCAAAAGGTTAAGTAAAAAAAACTATTGCTTTTGTTTGTCTGTTGATCGGTGAGTCGCGCTGGCTGTCTAGGTTGCCTGTTGGACTGGCAGTTTGTTTGTCTGTCTGTCTGTCTGTCTTTCTGTCAGGTTATCAAGTTTGGTGTTTGAAAGTTTCTGAGCTCACTCAAATTGTGGTTGGGGGAAAAAAATAGCGATCTGTCGTCTTGTACAGTGGACACATGTTAATGAGGATTTGAGAAGGAATTTGGTGTCTGGCGAAAAATTTGTCATTGAAAAGTCATTCATTGCAGTGCTTTAGGCCAAGTTGGTTTGAAAATTGGCCGGCTGACCCTGGTAAAGCCAGTGGTTGAATGGTACAGGCATGCAACTTTTCCTCATATTCGTTGATTTCCTCGTTTTCTACTTCTCATGAATGCCATTACAAATTGAAAAATACTGAACAAATTCTCGGGTGGTTTGGAGGTTCCTCGTTTTTCTAAATTTCCAGTTGTATAAAGACATCTGCGCCAGTAAACCGGAGGTCTTGGGTTGAAGTCCCACCTGAGTGTATAAAGCTCATGGAGACTTTTCGCATGGACTTTTGGAAAGCGCCGCAGATAATGCGTCTGTGTAAAATTATTATCAGTAAAGCCACACAAAAAAAAGTCTCCGGTTTCTGGTATGGAGCTTGCCCAAAAAGTGGTGCGGCGACGCGGCTTTTTTTTTGTTTTACCTGATTGTTTTGCTTCAAATGTCGGCTGATGACTGCAAATGGTGCCCGACTAAACTTAGTGCAAATATATGGGAGTCCAGAGAGGCCACATAAAGCTTATTCTCGATCATAACCCCCTCTAAAAAAAACGTTAAAATTGTGCAGCAGCAGGATTCCAGTCAAACCAGTGAGTTTGGCGGTTTTGAGACATCATCTTTCATTGAAATTTTTTTTTTCATTTTGCCAACGCGCATGGCTATGGCGACGCGCGCGCTTACCAGAAACCGAGACTCTTTTTTTTTTGGCCTAAGGGCAAAAGCCACATTTAAGAACAAGGTGGTTCTCGAACCGCGCGTCTCGCCTGCTTGCATGATTATCTTTAAAGAGTGACCTCTGACCGCGGTGTGTCCTCAGATGACCTTTGACCTTGGTATGTGACTGCTGGGACTGCAACTTTTCAAATGAGACCAATTCAAAATTTGCGGTCTATTCTACAACTTGAACTCAGACGACTTTTGACCTTGTGACAAATGTTTGACAGTTTCTTTTACTGATTTTCTGTCTTTATTTTGGTTCTGACCCACAGCTCCGAAGCAAGTGGCAGAGTTGGAGGAGAATTACCTGATTTCCCCCATCACCGGGGAAAAGATTCCCTCCAGCAAGATGCAAGAACACATGCGCATCGGTGAGTAGCCCCTCCCCCCTCCTCCCCCCTCCCCCCCCCTCCCCAGTTCTGAAACAATGAGAGCTAGTCCCATTGAACAATGCCACAGTTGTATCCTGCTGCAGTTGGTGACCACAGACTCTGAGGCAGTTTGTCCTTGAGATTTGTGACCTGATGGATCTTGCTGCACCGGGCAGGCTTGTCATTTTGACAAGTGTTGCATGTTGCGGCGTTCAGCAGGGTTTCTAGCCAAAATACCCTAGGGGGTTAGGGTTATAATTGTACCTTGCAAAAGAGGGCAGAGTTTTAGCCATAGAGCTATATTAAATTACTAGAGCGCTGACTCATGTACAAAGTGATGTCTGCTGGGCGAATCCATATTTGTGCACAAACCTATGGAAAACTTCGTAATTTTGTACAGCTTTTGTACGGCTATTTGCAAAGCTGCGTTGGTATTCTATACAGGTGCGTTACTGAAGTTGATACGCCCAAAACCGGAACACACGATCAGCAAATGAGCGTTTCATTTTGCTCTGCGCAAACAGCACAACGCGTGCGCGTATCCGCTACAGATGCTTTTTGCCATACATTTTTTAACCATCATGACGCGCTTAAGTTGTTTGCGTATTCTACTTGCGCATTGCATTTAGAGTACACTTTTAAAATTCAATCAATCTAGTTTTATTTTGTTCAGCAAACACGCACTTGAATTCAAAATGTCTGCCCCCAGAACGGCTTCAAAGTATCTCCGCGCACAAGAATGAGGAGTTAGTGCTCTAGTATAGCTTTATGGTTTTAGCATATTTCATGGCCTAGATGTGCTCAATGTGTTCATATTATGAGTTATCTGTTGTTGCTTCAATATAAGCAAATTCTGCATCTTTTCAGCTTGTCCTCCGTCAAATAGGAAGAGGCTAGCAGTGCAGTGAACTTGGCCTCAATGTGAACTCTGTGGCTTGATGGAATGTTTAATTGATTCCTGCGTGGAAATATTGATCATCCCTCGTTACGGCCATTTTTTTTTTGCTGCAGGTTTGTTGGACCCTCGCTGGATCGAGCAGCGGGATCGTCAGAAGGAGAAGTCGGCCCAGGAGGAGGTGTACGCACCGGGCGCCGCCATCGAGGAGAGCCTGAAACTCCTGGCCGAGAGACGTACCGACATCTTCGGAGAAGGTGACGTGGAGACCCAGATCGGTAAAAAGGTAAGTTGAAAAAGTAAATTGCAAGGCATCCCCACGTGTCGTCACTCTCTTCTCGAAACGGACGTACACATTAGATGCGACTAAAAGGAGATGAATTCCGGGGTTCGAATCCAGCCGCTGGTCATATATTGTGTCCTTGGGCAAGCCACTTCACCCCCACTTGCCCCTCTCCACCCAGGAGTATAAATGGGTACCGGCATTAGCTGGGGAGTAACCTGCGATGGACTAGCATCCCATCCAGGGGGAGTAGAAATATTCTCAGTCGTTTCATGCTACTGAAACCAGAGATAAACGCCGGCCTGATGAGCCACGTTGGCTCGGGACAGACTTACTACTACTTTAAGAGGAGATGAATAAACATTTCAGAAAGAGTGATATGTTCATGAGCGTCTTTCAGTCACCCTAGATGAGGGGCCATCAATATATCGATCTTACTCAATATCAATGTGATATTTCCATATTGTCGATATATCATTTTTTAATCATATAATAGTAACTTCTCAGACAACGAATAAGAACGGTTTTAATGTCATTTGTGGGAAATGATCAAAAGGAAAGCAAGGCTACATGAGAAAACAAAACAGTTTTCACAAAACAGTTTTTATGACGCTAACAAAAAGTGCATAGCTGCCAACTAGTACGATTTTTTCGTAATTATTACGAATTGTTTGTTAAATTACGAAAATACGATTTGCCACTAAAACATTACGAATTTCCTATTTTCTACCTAACGAAAAAAAAAATAACTGTAAAGTATCGTTTTTGACCGAAAACTTCTGGCGAAATGTCGCGATAATGGATGGACTGGTGACAAGTCTAATAAGAATGCAGTCAAGCACCTGATAGACATCAATACAGTGTGCGCAGTGGAGTACTTGAGGACCAGACTAAAAATATTTTTCAATGGTGTGTCATTTGTGTGCATCTCGTGGATGTGTGGTTGTGTGTACTGTATGTGAGTACTTTTCAGTGACGATCGTGAGCACATTTAGTTGCTTATTGCCGGGATGAGACCCATCAGTGCGAGATTTTAATCATGGAATTTAATAAGAGTATGGATGGAATAATTGGTAATAGAGTTTGAGTTTGTCACAACGGATAGAAAAGATAAATCAGCATGCGTTTGCAAAGTATGTTGGCGGGATATTTCTATTGCATACGGTGGCCATAGATCATTGTGTGTAAAAACATGATACAAAGTCGAAACTCAACATCGATAGCATGCATCTCCAAAAAAATATGCGCACATGTTATTGATGTTATTATTTATTTGACTTCAACAAACAAATACAGACATTAAAACAAAATTAATTTAAAATTTTTTTTTTTTTTTTTTAATTATCTTTTGGCCTACAGTACATTATTATTCACAACAAGAAGGGTATGCACATGTATGTGTACATGTAAACCATGTACCTGTACTCGATGTTGGTAAAGCTTTTGATAAAACGAGCAGTTGAAAATGACCGCGCGGGTTGATTACTAATTGGGATTTTGAAATGTTGGCAGCTATGAAAGTGCAATTTACAACGTAAAGCTATAAGCTCACTGTACACAATTGTATCTTGCTCTGTTGATGCACCGATGTGGTAGTATTATCGTGCAAACCGTAATAAACAATCTCAACAGCAACTTCCAAGATTTGAATTTTTGGGGTTGGGGGTTTCTTTAACGGGTACCGAGTACCCGTTTTTGTTTTTTTCATTCAGGTCCCTGGTGCCCATACTACCCACAAACCCACACCTCTAATTAGGATTACAAGGCTTTTATCCCAGGAGTACCAGTATGAGTATGAGTCATTTCCTTGAGGACGAGTATGAGTAGACACAGACTTAAAGTACTGGAGTTGGCCACATAGAGCCATTCACAGTTCTTGCTCTGAGTCTATTTGTGTTTATTTCTTTTTTCATTTGCAGCTTGGAGAGGAAGAAGACACCAAGTCCAAACAGAAGGTCATATGGGATGGGCACTCTGCCAGGTAAGGCTGTTATAATAACAGTATAGTATGGGCCTTATGAGTCGGCCATATTGAATGAAAAGTGAGGTAAAATCTTTAAGTTTTGGAACTTGCGAAGAGAAATGAAAGCAAGTTAATTCCTAATTAATTCCAGTCTGCTTCAATGAATAATTGAAAATGTGCAATTAAGCTTTCCAGATTAAAAAAACTGACAGTAAAATAAGGCTGCATTATGCCTGCATAAATAGTCTGGCGCCGTCCCATTCAGCAGTTAACAATTAATGAAATACATTCAGGGAACTCGACAGAAATGGCCAACTCGTGCGTAGGGCCCATAGCTTTATTGGCTGCATTCGCCAACAAGAGACGGCGCTTTCTTACCTTTTTTGAGAGCCCTGTGGCAGTCCTTCTGATTTGAGGCGTGCGATCACACCCCCACACCATCGCACACCTAAAAGCTTCCCGAGAAGTGTGAATAATTGCACGCCTGAATTTCCCTGGAACACAGAATCACACACCTAGAAAACCACACACCTAGAAAAAACACACACCTAGAAAATCCAGGTTTGCCTTTTTCCACACGCCTGTGATTTTCAAATCAGAAGGACTGCCGTGGACGAGACACACCGCGTATGCATGGCTTGGTTTGTTCTGATTATGTGCACAAAGCCATAGCGTCTTCGCGTGAGCGTCAGGCGCTGTCAGCGATGCGTCCAAATGTCTCTCCCAGTGGTCTCCCCCAGTGGTCTCCCCCCAACTCTCCCTTTCTTGCCGTTGAGGGGGTACTTCTGCACGGAGCTCATACTAATGTCTCAAAGTGCTCACTAGGGCTCCCGGAAAGTGGTCAGAAAGCGTCATCTATGGAGGCCATGGATTCGCTGTAGTGAGTTGGAGGCTCAGTGCAAATTCACAATGCTCATTTAATTGATGATTAAACCCTTTTCCGTTGAATTACAGCATGGAGTCCACAGCTCGCAAAGCTCAGGCCCATATCACCATAGACGAGCAGATTGCGGCACTGCACAAAGCACAGGGATTGCTGTAAGTTTATGACAAGGTTTTCTTTGAATTTGGCATCTCTTTATCGTTTTGTAACACCATTTTTTTTAATCTAAAGCAAGTCTATGTCCTTTTTGCTTTTGTCTGTCACAGATTTTTGTTTTTAAGGGTCAGTTTTAAAAAAGTTTTTTTCATTTTTAAAAATGTACAGTCGAGTCTCGCTAATACAAACACTGTTAATACATATTCTGGTTACAACAACAAACATAAAGCCTTGGTCCCAACTGTGTTTTATATTATACAATACATTCCTCTCAACACAAAATTCTTATATAACAAACTTCTTGGCTAGGTCCGGCTGATTTTGTATTAACGAGAGTCAACTGTATATATAGTTTTAGCTAGTCTATTGGCACATGTCAGAGATTATCAAATTTTGCTTATTTTTTTCTTCCCTTTAGGCCAGACAAGGAAAAGGAGAAGATCGGTCCCCAGCCGGTCAACAGAGCCGCCAAGCCCCTCCCCCCTCCCCCCGCCCCTCCCCAACCCAAACCAGCCCCCTCGGCCGCCCCACGCGCACCCATGCCCGAGCCTAAGCAGGCCCCCCGCATGCCCTTCCCACCTCGCATGCCAATGCAGCAGCAGCAGCAGCCTGGGATGGGGATGATGCCCATGCCCCCACGGCCCCCGATGCCGCCCCGCATGCCCCAGCCGCCCATGGGCATGCCGCGGATGGCTGGCGGGCTGCTGCCTGGCCCTCCGCTACGCTTCATGAGTCAAGGTACGAGAACATTTTGTCTCAAACTCCCTCACTTAAAGCTTGATGTTTTTTTTCATTTGAACCAACCAAAATTGGTTTCTTTTTATCCCCCTGGCTTTCAAGCCAGGCAGGGGGATATTGTGTCTACGTCAAATAAATCCTTTCCAATGTGGATATTTACGAGGTCTCTGGAGAGCTCTGCTCAGTATTACTAATGACTATACGTTAGTCCGGTGTCTCGCCCATTTGAACCAACCAAAATTGGTTTCTTTTTATCCCCCTGGCTTTCAAGCCAGGCAGGGGGATATTGTGTCTACGTCAAATAAATCCTTTCCAATATGGATATTTACGAGGTCTCTGGAGAGCTCTGCTCAGTATTACTAATGACTATACGTTAGTCCGGTGTCTCGCCCATTTGAACCAACCAAAATTGGTTTCTTTTTATCCCCCTGGCTTTCAAGCCAGGCAGGGGGATATTGTGTCTACGTCAAATAAATCCTTTCCAATATAGATATTTACGAGGTCTCTGGAGAGCTCTGCTCAGTATTACTAATGACTATACGTTAGTCCGGTGTCTCGCCAAAACTCTCCATTCAACCCAAACTCCCCATTCAACTGAGAACTGGTACCTGCCGGGGTGGACAATCAACGCCGTCACTGACAATTGTCCTTACTAACTGCCTGTACATGTACAAACCGCCAGGAGGATCGGGCAAGTTTCACTTTCAGTATTTTATATTAAATTGACCACCGGCAAGCTTGGTGGTTGAAAGGCATCGGTGCCGAAAGTTGTGGGCTTGAGGGCCAACAGAGCAGACAAATTGATGGATTTTAATAGGAGATCAGGGTTAATTTTATAAACCATTGCCTGTTTTTTTTTTCTGACCAGGTCCTCCGAGAATGGGCGGGCCCATGCAGATGGGCGGTCAGCCCATGCAGGCCATGAGAATGCCGGGGGCCCCTCCCATGCGACCAGGCCTACCGCCGGGCATAGACGAACCGCCGGCCAAGAAACAGAAGACGGAGGAGAGTCTGATGCCCGAGGACCAGTTCTTGGCAAGAAACAAGGTAGGGCCGTCAATATGTTTCATAATGCAACTTTGGACTTGAAACTTGGCAAGTGTTCAGACCTTACTTTCTTGACTTCACAATGACGACATCTTAATTGTTGGACCAAATTGAGTTTCAGTGTTAGAATTTAAACAAAACAGGACACACTCTGCAGATGCTCAGTGCAATCTGGTCTCACAGGTACCCATTTATACTCCATCGTGAAAAGAGGTTATTGTTGTAAAGTGTCTTGCCCAAGAACACAAACACCATATCCCCATTGCACATTAGTTTCATAATGCACCTTCAGACTTGAAACTTGGCAAGTATGTAGACCCTAATTTCATGACTTCACAATGACCACATCTTAATTGTTAAGACCAAATTGAGTTTCAATGTTAGCGTTTAAAAAACAAGGATATATACTTTTCTGCAGATGCTCAAGATCAGTGTCCGTATTCTCACAGGTACCCATTTATTGTCCGTGGTGAAAAGAGGTAATCCTTGTAAAGTATCTTGCCCAAGAACACAAACATCATGTACCCATTGCGCATGAGTCGTACACCATAACCATTGCATCACTGCACTCTACAAACATATATTACATTACCCGACATTTTTGGGAAACTTATTTTCATTGTTCCAGGGTCCAGTCGTTTTCAAGGTCATGGTCCCGCCCATGCCGGATAAGCCGGAATGGAAGTGTAGCGGTCAAGCCTTGCAGATGACCCTACCGCTGACCGACACCATCTCGGTCATCAAGGCCAAGATCTTCGAGGAGACCAGCATGCCGGCCGGCAAGCAGAAGCTGCAGTTTGACGTAAGTTGGATTGGTTGTTATATGTCATCCCCCTTCCCCTTTTGTCACTAAAAAAAACTTGATACAGCTGTGTGTTTATAAAAGGAAGAAGAGGTCAAAGTAGAACCGTCACATTCTCTTAAAAGATTACCACAATCGGTATTGTAGTCGACTCTGTCACAAGTCTATCACAAGTCTAAAGTGAAGTCGCAAACTACTCAAATAAACTGTGGCAAAAGCATTGTGTTTGTATCATCAGTTACGTGAGACTGGACTTGTGATAAACTTTCAACCGAACTTGTAATATTATAAGATGGAATTTTTGCGTCGGGGTGATATCAATCAAATTAGGTTTTTGCCCTTCACCGACGTTTAAACACTGTATACTCAGTGTGTTACCTCCCGAGTGAAAGTTGGAAAAAATCACTCGGGTGGGACTCAAACCCACGACCTCCTGCTTTCATTTGATTGATATCACCCCGACGCAAAATTCCATCTTATAATAGTTTATGCTGTACCCGCTGCTATGTACATCAGATTCGGGAGGTAACACACTGAGTATACAGTGTTTAAACGTCGGTGATGGGTAAAAACCTAATTTGATCAAATTTGTAATGTTCTTGTGATGAACTTGATGGGCGCAGAACTCATTTTGGGTACATCCTTATTCTCCACCAAAGTCGGGGGGTGGGGAGAGGAGAAGAGATTCAGCGTTTAGGAGCACATTGCAACTTAGCCCCGGTTCAATGGGTCTACTGGAGCTAAACTTGTCCGCAACTTATCCTTAAGATACAAAAAGACACAACAGGATCTGGGCAACAAGTGTATTGTATGGTGCCCGCCTGCTGTTTGATTCTTAGCATCTCTTGCACTGTGTCCTTGATCCTGTAGCAGAGATGAAACTTTTCAGATTTTAATCTGAAATAAGATTTTTCTTACTTTTCCAATGAAATTTCAGATTTTTTTACGATCCCACAAAAATGATTATTTAACAATTTTTCCACAAAAGTGGTTTTTTTTTTCATTATAATTTCCGAAAAAAATCCATGAAAAGTCGATGAAAGCGGCACTTTCGCAAGTGTAGTAGTTTTAATCTCTTTTACCAGTCAGGAATGGAGTGATTCTACAGTAGAAACACCTAGGCCAAAGCTGATCAGATGCTTTTCCGGCTGGAGAAAAGGTTAAATACTGACCTATGACATGGAAAAAATTCACTGGGTCCCGCAATGAGCTGCACTGCACTGCGTGCGCGACGCTGTGGCACATCGGACCCAAGGTCCAATTTCAGATTTGTTTTGCCAAGGCCAGTTTCATCTCTGCCTGTGGTTATTCGTACCATCCTAAACGTATTTCTATTTTGTTTTGCTTTAGGGTTTGTTTGTGAAGGATTCCAACTCCTTGGCATTCTACAACTTCATCAACGGATGCACCTTGCAGCTGGGCCTCAAAGAGAGAGGAGGTCGCAAGCGCTAAGAACCTACAGCGTGCGGCACACATTATTGGACGTTTTTGTTTTGTCTCTGGTTTTGAATTCGGTCATTTTAATCTCATCACACTGTTTATACTGCTGTTGTGGGTTGTTTCTGTTAAAGGACGCAAACTCAATCCTCTGAACATGTAAATATTATTGTTTTTAAAATCATGACTTGGTTGACTTCTAACGATTTAGTTTTTGTAAAGTAATGTTAATAACTTTTTCCCTTTTGTTGAGATATGTTTTGAAGTAAAATACCTCTTTAAACGATGAGATTATTTTTAGGTACGATTTGGGCAAGGTGGGGGATTAGGGCCAAGGCCTTCATAAATGTGCGTGTGGTTTGCGGTAAATCACGCAGTAAAATGTGTAGGCCCAAAGCTGTGAGTACAGTAGGTAACGTTACAAGTCTTCACCGTACCGTACGGTTTGATTCTTTTACTGAGAGACGACAATTTTCATGCTGTGCGGGCAAGTTCAGGCACAGGCACAAAAAGTGGACACATTATGCCAAAGCCAGGTAGTTATGTTTTTTTTTTGGGGGGGGGGGTCGGTTTTTGCTGGAATTTTTGTGGGGTCAAGGTGGATTTGGGGAGTTCAGATCAGTTTTGATTAACATGTACACAGTTGACTCTCGTTTCACTGTTAATACAAATTCTGGTTATAGCAAACACAAAGTCTTGGTCCCGCCTGTGCATTTATGTGCACAATGAATGGGACTGATGTTCCTCTTAATACAAAATTCTGATATAACAAACAATTTGGCCAAGTCCGAACGAGTTTGTATTAACGAGAGTCGACTGTATCTGTAATGTTTCTGGTCAGTTTGGCCTGATCAACCCGACCCGAAGCACAATACGAATCTACCAGGTCTAGTCGACTTCTATATAGTGAAATGTCCAAGGGAAGATACTGGTAAAGTAATATTTTGGTCGCACTGTTATAAGGAAACTTATGTCCATGATGCTGTAGCTAAAATGAAATAAATTTGTCGCAAATAAATTTTAAAAACATGCTTCTCTCAGTCTTGATGTATTCCCCCCTTAAGTTCTAGGTTTAAGTGGAAAGAAAATTAGGTGTTCTTTTCCAAACTTTTATAACTCATAAAACTTTGACGCACAATTTTCATAATCTCAAAGTTTAATACTCTCTTCACAAAGTGGACAATATTAAACATTTTTCGACGTTAATTAATTTAATTATTCAAAATAATCAAACTTTCATTATACAATTTCTGTACATTTTATACATGAATATAAAAATTACTGACTAGTCAAATGTTTTTTAAAACATATTTTTTTTGTTCAGCTGAATGAATGACCGCAATGTCGAATAACCCTGTTTTTATAGTTGGATTGTATAACACACAGTACTTGTGTATGACTCAACTGATTGAGTTTTAAGCAAATTTTACAAATCATCTCGCAAGCATTTCAAATGAACTCTGTAAAAGGCATTCCTTTGTTACTGCCCATCCCCGTTTACTTATGACTGGACTTGTGATGTTCTTGCAATTTACTTAAGACAAGACTTGTGACACACTTGTGATCGGATTACAGTCACCTGGACCGTTTGCCAACTTGACTCAAATCAACTCGACCCTTTACCAACTCGGACCATCGTACCAACTTGACTGTTGAACCAACTCGTCCGTTGACCAACTCGACTTCACTTTCGAGCCAACTCGACCGTTTGCCAACTCGTCCGTTGTATACTGTACAAGTAAACCTTGGGTTACGTGATTTGAGTTGTAGTGTGCAGACTACTCATGCATAATAGCACAAGTTCGTCTGGCTTTTCGGGACAATTTGGGTATGCTCAATAAATTAGCACAGCAACTGTGTTACTGATGATGCACAACATTTCCAGATCCACTGGAACGACTTTCTCTGTGATTCAGCACCGCCATTTTTTTTTTCACTCTTGCTCGTGCGCACTCGATGGACGAAAGCAATGATTGTTTCTGTGTTTTGAACCATGTTCCCTTGTTTGTGTATACAATGACACAGCAGTCAAGTTGACTTTTTAGTTGATTGAATATCGGACGAGTTAATAGACAGTCGAGTTGGTCCAAGTTGAGTTGGCAAATGGTCGAGTTGACAAACGGTCGAGTTGACCCGACAGGCCGACACATTGTGATCCAGCATAAGTGCTTAACTGCAGCACTGATACACAAGCCTTGACTTTTTAGTTGATTGAACATCGGACGAGTTGGTAGACGGTCGAGTTGGTCCAAGTTGAGTTGGCAAATGGTCGAGTTGACAAACGGTCGAGTTGACCCGACAGGCCGACACATTGTGATCCAGCATAAGTGCCTAACTGCAGCACTGATACACAAGCCTTGCCTTTTGCAAACAAGCTTACTACATCTTGCTGAGGAGTCCGCTCTCCGGCGCAGACGTCATGATGAGTTTCTGGACCTCCTTGAAGCAGGGATGCTCCGCTCCTCCCAGGAGCTGGAGCAGCATCGCCTCGCTGGTGGTGATGAAGGCCCCGCTCTGACGCATCCTCTCAAAGGCATACAGCCTGCCACAAACCAAAAGATAAATTATAATTTCTTGCACAGTCCATTGCATTTATTTATGCCACGAAAAGGCAGGAAGCACCTTAGGTCCAAAAGGACTCTAGCCACAAGGAATAAAACTAGGAAAAAGACAAGAGATCAAGCTTGTTGATGAAGCTCTTGAAGATTGTGGGTTGTAGGATGTGAAGCCGCAACTGTGGCAGAGAGCTCCACAATTTGGATGTGCGGACAATGAAGGAGGATGAGTGGGATACAGTGCGAGGTGTAGGTACTGAGATTGTGAAAGGGTGAGTGAGCATCAGTGGCAGAACTCGCAGAACAAGTGGGTGTGTACGTGTTCATCTTTTCAAACCGTGGACAAAAAATACCTGAGAACAAAAGAGAACAATATCGTCCACGATTCCTAGCATACGTCCGCGATTGGCGTCGTGTACAAAACCTATGGGAGTCTTCCTAACAAAAGGGGACAATAGGACGTCCACGATCGACGGTGGGCATGATTTATAGATTTCAGTATGCAAACAGTGACCAAAGTTTTAGCGGTAAAAAACTGGGAGAGGGAAAGAGTTGGCGACTCTCATTATTGACAGATACATTCAAATCGACACTGCAACCCAAGCTTTAAAATAGCATGCAATACATCACATATGTGATGCGATCAAGCTACATGAGTCGTTTGTCGGGAATTTTCATTTGGAGATATAGGCCAAAATAGGGCCACTTCATCACATCACTTCATCACATCTCTTGGTGTTCCAACTTCCATAATTTTTGAACTAAAGATGGTATCAGCATGCGGTTTTCACAACAGTAATGCTGAGATTGTGCTCTTTTCAAATCTGTAATAAAAATGTTTTGACCGGGGTCGACAAACAACTCCTTCAACTTGATTGCATCACATATTAAGCTTATTTGTTTCATCTAATGTAGATCCAATTTTAGGTGGTCAATAATCATGTGTCAGACATAGATTCTGCACTATCTTTCAGTAGCAAATTTTATTTTCATGTAGCTACAGGGTTTGCCCTCCTATTTGGCCAAGGAAGTCAGAATTCTGAACAGAATAACGACTCGTGGACAAAATTGTTATGCCCAAACCGAGCAGTTTTATGCACTCGATCAGTTCATTTCTTTCACACTGATTCACTTTTACAGTTCATCAGCTGTTACCTTTTATTCACAGGGTTCTTCCTCTCCACTTCAAAGCTATTCCGAGTCAATACTGAATTTCAGTCTGATTCTGATTTTGATTTTGATTCGACCGAAATCTGCAGAGGATTTTATCGATTCTATGCACTCAGCCGTTTGGTCCAAATTTGTTAGTTTCGTTCACCTGTCCACCATGCTCCGTGAGGAGCAAGCGTCTGCAATCACATGCACGTCCAGGCCTCTCTCCAAGAGATCCAGCGCCGTCTGTTGGACGCACGCCTGGGTCTCGATGCCGCAGAGAATCACCGAGCTGGTGCCTGCGTCGGTGAGCTTCTTGTCGACTTCCGGCGTGCACATCGTGAAACAGGTCTTTGCGATGATGTCGTGGGTGTCGCGGCTGACACCGATTTCTGGAACAGTCGGTCCGAGGCCTATAACATAGTACAAAGATAATGAAAAAAGGAAATTGATGAATTGTTAAAAACACTATTTTCCGTGCATGAATTTTTTTTTCTATTAATTTTTCTTCCGATTTGTTCTTTCCTTCATGAGAATGAATAGGGCATTATTAATATACAGGCCTACTTAAAATATGATTTGGGCTCAAAACTGTTGCATAAAACGCTTGCGTTTTTAGCACTATTGTACATCACTGAAATTGGTATTTTTGGGCATAATGGTAATTTGTTCAGCACAACTTTTGTCTTGACTTTATGGCATTCAGTCATATTAGTGCAACCCATGCCTACTTGATTTTGACCAACACTATTAGGACCTCTCTGTTTTTTCGCTGTTGCAATTTTTACACAAGTCAGCTGTTGAGCATGTTTCAATTGTCAACCGAATGGTTCTCATATGGTAAAGAATGTAGTGATCCAGAGGTCGGACAGAATCGCATACATGTTGTAGGTACAGTGATAGGAAAGATTTCCATATAAGAAGTTCACTAATTTTCCTCTGTATTGACTAACAAGCCCCCAGATAGCAATTTCATGTCATCAAAGTCAATTTGAGCAGTGAGAAAATACAAGCATTTTCTTAGAAAACACTTAGAATTTTTCAGTCCAATCTCATAGGGTTTGTACACAGGGTGTCGAGTGAACTTCGTATATGGAAATCTTTCCAACGAAAATATGTTGTACAAAGTCAAATTTATTAGCTGGGAAAATATTGAAGCATTTAGTGAAAAAACACAAAAAAAATTCAGACCAGTCTCAATCTCATAGGGTTTGTAAAATTGTACACTGGGTGTTAAGTTAGACTCTACGGATCACTTTTTTTTTAACATTTAGGCATGGTAGGGCGATGTCAAAATGTTCCATATGTCAAAATGATCCATATACTGTAGAGTCCTAGTCACTCGGACTAGTGTCAGATGACGTCCCTATATCATTGTATATCATGGAATTCTTTCCCAGATGCCACTTAAATTTGGTTGTGTACAAATTAAGTCAGATGGCCTGAGTGAGAGTGCAGTGCATTTTCAAAGTATTTTTTAACAACAATTTGACATGTTTCTCAGTCCCAGAATGCCAGATTCATGTCTTTCACATACTTTATAATTATAACTTATGATGAATTGAAAAAGTGGCTCCAGGATGCAACGTTCTGTCCACGTGGGGCGGGGCCAAGTTTATTTCTAGTTTCTGCAGCAGATCAAAAAAAGTTGGGTTGTTTCAATGTTTGTTTGCGTGGTTTGCGTTTGTTTACCTTTCGGATATTGTTCAGTCGTGACGATCAGCGGTATTTTCATGATTTCGGCCGCTCTGAAAATCCTCCTCGCCACCTCCACGATCTGAGGGAAGTATTGGATCGTGGGTCGGAATTTCTCCTGCATGTCGCACAGGAAAAGGGCCGAATTTCGGATCAAAATCTTGCCGATTTGTCGAGAGGCCATCGTGCTTGTAAAAACACCCGGTACCATTTGCACTCAACCTCGACCCCAGGGTGTCGAACAGTACGCGCCCATCACTACCTGCTCTCTCTCTCTTTACTATTGGAAACAAGGTTGGAAATAAAGTGAGCACTGGGGACGAGGTTGATTTGAACAGCGCCCTCAAGAGGTACAGTTAAAGGAAGCTAGCTGGAGTTACCCAGCCCCAACCTCGTCCCCAGTGATTACTTTATTTCCAACCGCGTTTCCAATGAGAGAGCAGGTAGTGGTGGGCGCGTACTGCTCGACACCCTGGGGACGAGGTTGACCCAGCCCTAAATTTTATCATATTGGGTTGTATTCATATTAGGCCAAAAAAAAAAGTCTCCGGTTTCTGGTATGGAGCTTGCCCAAAAAGTGGTGCGGCGACGCGGTTTTTTTTTTTTTTACCTGACTTTTTTGCTTCAAATGTCGGCCGATGACTGCAAATGGTGCCCCGACTAAACTTAGTACAAAATGTACGGGAGTCCAGTGAGTCCACATAAAGCTTATTCTCGATCATACCCCCATCTAAAAACAAGTTAAAACTGTGCTGCAGCAGAATTCCAGTCAAACCAGTGAGTTTGGCGGTTTTGAGACATCATCTTTTATTGAAAAAAAAACTTTTTCATTTTGCCGACGCGCAGGGCTACGGCGCGACGCGCGCGCATACCAGAAACCGGAGACTTTTTTTTTTTGGCCTTAGGGCTGGAGGAAGCTTTTCACGCGAACCAGCAGAGTTGGCAGGTCCCAAAAAAAAAATCGAAAGAAATTTCGAAAATGTGCAATTTCGTCCCTGTTACACACTAATTTCAACTGGAACTCACTCAAACCTTGCCTGGAATAACCATTACACAGGTCCTTGAAGTAAAAAACGCGCGATCCACGATAGATTCAGCTTACAATTACAGTGAAAAAACGAGGCATAAACCGACAACCGTGCGGTCATGGCGAGGCCAGTTCGTTCTTGCCGGTGTGGCAGGTAATTCTGTCCCCCCTGGTAAATGTGTCCCCCCGGACAGATTTACCGGGTCGTGACCCGGTAAATCTGTCCGGGGGGACACTTTTACCTAGGTAAACCTGTCCCCCTCTAGGTAAATCTGTCCCCCTGCACGACGTTAAATGTGTCCCCCCTGGTAAATGTGTCCCCGTGCAACGTCACAAGTCTAGCACCCAGACTGTATACTAGTAAAGTTATTAACTGTTTTTGCGCGGCGCCTTGCTAAATTCGGGAATGGTGCTTACGTCAAAGCACAACTCCCGTTTTGATGACGACTTCGGGAGCAAGCGATTTGCATGGTGGGCGTGCGCGCGAGTGTACCGCACCTACGGAGGGCGTGCGCGCGCTAGCGATAGGTTGAGTATTACTACGCGTGCCTTTTCTGCTTTCTTGCAGAAACATAGATCGGTTGATTAACATCTTAACGTTAATTTCATTTTGATAATCATTGATGAAGGGTGGAAAAATATAAAAATGTATACCCTGTGCGCTGAATTCATTATAATAACATCAATATAACAACTTATGCGTGCAAAACCAGGGGGGACAGAATTAACTGGAGGGGACAGAATTACCTGGAGGGGGACAGAATTAACGGGACAGGGGGGACACTTTTACCTAGGTAATTCTGTTCCCCCGGACACTTTTACCGGGGGACAGAATTACCGTCCACACCGGCTGCGCTGGCTGCTGATGCATGGCGCATGACGTCACGCGGGAGATTTTTTTGGGGGACCTGCCAACTCTGCTGGTTCACGTGAAAAATGTCCTCCAGCCCTAAATGACAACCCAATGATAAAATTTAGGGCTGGGTCAACCTCGTCCCCAGTGCTTACTTTATTTCCAACCGAGCACGTTTTGGCGCTGTGACCGTAAACATGTTTCTGGTTCGCGGCCGTTTTGGCGCTTCGGTTACACTGAAATGACGTCATTGTTTCGACCAAAGTTGAACCGAGGTTTCCGGTCGGTTCACTTATGTTTCAAGGTGGCGGAAAGGTAAACAAGCTTAGCAGACGACGTTACTTTTTACCACAAACGGGGTTTAAATAGTGGGTTTTTACCTTCAATTGGTACGAAAGTTAATACAGAATATCAGGTCTACTCTTTTTTAGAACTTTTGGGGAAACGCTATACGAAAAACTCGCACTTTTGCTTTGAATGTTATTGTTAATCATGTCCGGTCGCCGCCGCGTGATTTTTTTGGGGTTGTGTGCAGTCACGTAGGCAGTAACATGACGTCATGAACAATTTTCCGGTCAGTCGTTTTCGCGGTGCACAGGAAACATGTTTCAGTTCACGGCTGTGACGTCAGAAACATGTTCCAGTTCAAGGGCCGCCAAAACGTGCTCCAGGTATGCAAATGAGGAATAGTCTGGTGCCGGCATGTGCGTTGCATTAGCGTTTGTTTTTGTATGCGGTGTCTGGGGTAAAAACAGAGTCAAATCATCGCAGCGCGAGCATGGTGTGAGTGGAAGATAGTACATATTTAGTCATATTTAGCCTTTTTTAGTGGAAAAATTAAATTGTGATTTTATATATTTCAGAGTATATGAAATATAGATATATATAGATTTTTAGAGTTTGAAAGTGTAGTTTCAAGATGCTCCTCTTTTAACCAGAATTAATTTCCTGGGCTGAAATTCGGCTTAATATCCCTTACATAAAATACTCAAATTTGCGACCGATCAACACACCTTGGAAATTCCTAGTTTTTGAGTAAAATCCATATATCTATTTCGTGATAACCTTGTGGAGACGTATTTACCTATGGAAATTGCTCTGTGGAGACGTATGCAATCTTTTGTTCCCCACTGTGCACATGTCTCCACAGGGTACCGTGTATCAGATCATTTTGTAACACACACTTCCTTTAAATCCACATGATTGGAGCCAACCCTTTTAAAGTTATTTAATACACAACCACATCAGTGGAACCACTGATGTTACCGCATTACATATTATAAGCAAAATGGAGGGGGTAATTTTTTATTTGGAGTGGTCCAAAATATTTACATTGAACATTGCAATACTTATTTCAGTGTAAATACTTCATATAAGTGTCCACGCTCAAAAAATCGAATTTTTTAAAACTTTGTGGGATGAAAGGACTTAGGGAGCAAGTAACCAAAATCGACTTTTTAAACTTTTATTTTGCCCGTTGCCATGGTTACGGGCCATTATGTGTTTTGGCCATTTTTGGGCAATTTTGAGGCTGCATAAATTCATTTTTTGCGTTATTTTCAAAGGTCATCAAGCCAAACTGCGAAGTAATGTCACAAAAGTAACTATATCACGACAAAGTATCATCCTTACCCTTACAAGAAATAAATATAAATACTTCTGAAAAATCTCTTTTATATTTAATTTTTAGGCCCTATATTTCAGCATGTTTTTACAACTAGCGAAATTGCATTTTTTTACCCCATTTTTATCTCTCCAAAATGGCACTTGCCAGGGCAATCAGAATAATTTCCCTTCGGCTATGTATAGTTCAGACATTGGTCTTTTCATATCTGGTGAGAAAATTTTGGGTTATTGTATATCCTTTGTGCAGTAGCGCTCCAAAAATGGTAAATTTCACAAAAACCTTCAAAGTGTATTTTCAGTGTTTTCCTTTGTTTTGAGTAATAACTTGTATAATTGGTATTGTTCATGAATCTAGCACATTTTCACAAACAGAATCAGACTCCAGACGCCATTGTAAAACTTGTAGTGGTGTTGTTAAAATTCGTGTTAATCCCTGCCTGCAGGGTGAGTAAAAAACCGCATCCCAAATGGCAGGACCAATATTCGAATGAGGTTTTGCCTGTAGCACTTTCAATATCTAGGATGTAAAAGCCCAGTCATTATGCTTTCTTTTAGTACAAGAATCATTCAGATCACGCATGTACTTTTCAAGTTAAGGCATTTCGAACACAAACACCGTTTTAAAGTTCATTCCATGGATAACAAAAACATTAAGTGTTCATTCAGCAAAACGAAAACAATTGCCATAGGGATGTTTTCGTTTTGCTGAATGAACAAGTACCTCTTTTGTGATCCGTGAAATGAACAATAGAAAAGGTGTTTGTCTTCAAAATGTCGTAACTTGAATAGTACATGATTTACTGATTCTTATTCTAAAATGAGCTCATTGATTGGGCTTTCATATTCTTAAAATTTGAAAGTGCTACAGGCAAAACTTGAATTCATTCAAAAATTGGTCCTGCCATTTTGGATTCTTTTTTTTTTTTACTAACCCTACATAGTGGACAACTGCACTCCGTAATGTATATTGTTGCTCCTTCTGCTGCTTACATGAAGCACGAGGAATCTGCAAAGATAAAAAAATGATCTACATTATACTAATTTGTTCAACTATCGGACTGATGTAAATTTTGCATGAAAAATAGACGTGCCACTGCCCGAAGACGAAGACAGAAAGTGAAAAAGGAAAAAAACAAAAGCATCCGAATCCTCTTTTTTTCTTCTAAACTACCTCAAGAATTGGTGAACGGACTTGCTCTGCAAGCAGGTCATCAGGCCTTCCGTCGGTCCTCCTCCCTGCTTCCGGTTCCTTGGGATTCGGAATCGATTGTATCTTCGTCCAGAATGATATCTCATCTTGCAGACCGTCAACTCTGCCAGAAGGTTAGAAGGAACACAATGTTGGAAAATGTATGTGGAGTAATTATGCAGGTCTTATGCTCTTCTTTTTTTATTTGTTGATTTGTGAAAGTGTTTATTCTTTACAAAAATTATTTAAATTATTTTCTTTGGTGGATTTATCTTGTGTTTGCTAAAATAACGTGGTGCCTATTAAGCGCTTTATACCAAAGGTCTCAAGGTGCTCCATAATTATTACCCCTGTTCATCAGGGCATATGACCAGTTCTTGTAGCAGCTCGCGGCACGGGAGTCGAACACCATTGGACCACATACAGTGCTCCACAATAAAGCATCATAGTAATTGTGGACACAACAAGCAGAACCACTTAAGACAACCTCAGACGTTTTTCGAAAGGAATTAAAGTATCATGAATGTTTTTACCCAAGGAAGCAGTAATG